CCAGGTGCAAATGGGCCAGGTGCAGTTAGTGCAGGTTCTGAGTGGCTCCTTGGCGGGCCAGGTGCAGTGGCAGGGTTGCCTGAGGGCGGGCCAGGTGCAGTGGCAGGGTTGCCTGAGTGGCCCCTTGGCAGGCCAGGTGCAGTGGCGCTTGAGTGCAAGCTGGTTGGTGGCGAGGCAGCAGGGGGCTTTGTGGGGCTGGCGGGCTTTGTCCTTGCTGGACCCACAGGGCCAGGGCTCATGGGCTTGGCGGGCTTTGGCCCTGTGTGCTCTGCATCTGCAGGCTCTGCTCTGCTTGCTGTCTTTGGCTCTGCTGCAACTGGTGCTGCTGCTGCTGATGCTGTTTCTGCTCTTTGCCTGCCAGGCGGTGGGGCAGGCGGTGGGGCAGCAGGCGGTGGGCCAGGGCACTTTGGAGGCTCTTTTGGCAGTGCCTTTGGTGGGGTTACTGGGACTGCTGACAGCGGCGCTCCTTTGGAGGTTGTTGCCATGACTTTGGGCGCTGGCTCTTTGGGGCGGGCTTTGCGCTCGATCTTTGGGCGTTCCTGCGAGAAAAGAGACAAGCTCAAGCATGAGTTCTTCCAAGCACTGCCAAGCAAGAAAAGAGACAAGGCCCAAGCATGGAGTTAAAATTGTGAGACTAGTCCAAGCCTTGCGCTCGGTCTTCGCGCGGTCCTGCAAGGAAAAAGCCCAAGGTGCAAACGTGAGTTTCTAAGACCACCACATTGCGTGAGAGCAGTCAGCAGTCCTTCTTCTCTTTTGGTGCCATGTCACAGGAGGATGGCTATGCCGTGGAATGTGTCAAAACCTAGAGTTCTGAATTGAGCTGTGCGTCAGTTTTGCACTGCTTATTACGTGATATAGAGGGGTTCACAAGTCGCAGAATTCATTCTGGCTCATGGGCCTGCTGAATTGTGTGCCTCAGGATGGCTTTCTCTAGAAACTGATTTTTGTTGAGTCTGTTCCTGCTCCCGTTCCGCGCCGATGTGATCCGAAAAACTGCTGCGGTGCTGATACGTGTGTTCAGCTGCCCTCCTGTCCCAGCACTTATGCAGCCTAGGTTCCAGCAGCTGGGCGCTGCCTGGCTGGGCTGCAGAGCTTCCAAACCTGCAGTGACAGCAAGCAGCTGGGCTGGGGGCTAGTTGGAAACATGTCAACTGGGAATCTGACATCACAATTTCTTGTTAAGGATTTCTGACATCACATTTCTGAACCAGGGTGCCTTGAGTGGAAGCAGCTGAGGGCTGATGGAGCGCTTCTTCAGCGCGTGTACGCGAGCTTGCGCAGCTCGAATAGCTTGCTTACTGGCAATAAACAATTCAAGTCGCCTTGGGTGCTGCTTATTAGGTTGTTTGAGGGTCGCAGAATGGGCTGGTGCACTTCTGAAACTCGGCGGATTGCTTTGGCAATGCAACTGCTTCCTTGCAACTGTTTTTTGCTGATTGGGCTTCATCAATGCTTTGAAATTGCGTGTGTTGTTTGTATTGCTGAGAGTGAGGGGTGCTTGTCCAGCACATTCCAGCGAGCTAGCTCAATGAAAACTGCTCCGCTGACTCAGGGCTGCTCCAAACAAGAAGGATGTGCGTGAACATGGAATGTTGATGAAAATTGGTGTGCCACTCACAAGCCCACTCAAGTTTGCGCTTCATAGTGTTTGGGGCTGGCTGGAGCAGCAGCATGTAGCATTGCAACCCATTGTGCAAAACACTTAAGTTGCAAACGCTCTTGGAGATTAACAGCACAACTCAGAGCTGAATCATCTAGGTTTCTGAGTAAATGGAAGCCTGTGAGTGGGTTTAGCCCATGTTGCAAAAGAGCTCGCAAAATGTGGGTGGGCTTGTGAAGTGTTGGGGGCCATGATGCTGGTCCAGCACATTAGTTTGAAGGGGCTTGCATTTTGTCTAAAAGGAAGCCATGTTGCTTGGAAGCCTTTGGGCCTTTGGTTGGATGCTGAAGAAAAACACAGCAAAAAACACTAGTTTTGATAAGTTAAAGCTTTTGTTTGTGTCCAACCTCAGCTTGGTTCTGATATCATTGTAAAATGAGGGGGCCGTGCTTACCCAGCACAGGTTAAAGAGGGTGCTTGTCCAGCACATCCCAGAGAGCTTGCGCAGCTCCCTGTTGTACAACTGACTGATTGAGGGCTTGAACAGGGTGAGGAAAAGGATGCCACTGCTTGTTCCCCACACGCATGTCATGACTGTGCTTGCCCAGCACAATGTGCTTCCCCAGCACCTTGAAGGGGCTGTGCTTACCCAGCACAGATTGGGGGGGTGCTTGTCCAGCACATCTCAGGGAGCTTGTGCAGCTCCCTGTTTTAGAGCAACACAACTGACTGAGGGCTCCAGCCAACAGGTTGGGGAAGAGGTTGGTGAATTTGCTTGGGACAAGCCTTGAACTTGCCTTCTTCCTGAAAACATGATGGTCACAGTTAACAGTTGTGTGTTTTGGTTGGGTTGGGCGGATGCTGCAAACATGCTGGCCTGACACAGTGTCGACTTCAAAGCATCAGCGTTGCAGTGGCATCATCTTCCTCCAAACTCGTACATTTTGTTGTGAGCCGCGCTTTCCCAGCACAGTGTGAAGGCGAAACCCAGCAAACTGAGGGCTGCAGGAGGTCAATGAAGTTGCCTGGGGCTGAAAGCAAACCACAACAAATCAGAGACCCATGACCCATAAGCTCTAAAGCATGTGCATGAATGCCTCCCATCTTAACAAACAAACGTGTGGGCTAGTCACGGGAACGCTGAACTACGTGGTGTGCAGATTGAATGCTGCAAACACAAGTTGACAAGCCACAGGCACTGGCAACAAAGTTGTTGGTACCCTCCTTCAAATTTGTAGATATTGTTGGGATGGATGAGGAAGTCATTGGACTTAACACGCATGTCATGACTGTGCTTGCCCAGCACAGTGTGCTTGCCCAGCACCTCGAAGGGGCTGTGCTTACCCAGCACAGATTTGGGAAGGGGGTGCTTGTCCAGCACATTTCAGGGAGCTTCTGCAGCTCCCTGTGAGAAAAACGACACAACCAAAACACTGAGGGCTCAAACGGACCGAGCAAGAGGTCGATGAAGTTGCCCAGCTGAAAGCAGCTCAGTTTCAACCCCTCACCCCACTTCAAATCAAATCAGAACAATTTGGACACCCATGTTAGCAAGTAACAGCGCTGGCTAGCCGAGCTGCGTGGTGTGCAGTTTGAAATCGCCTTTGATCCGGGTTGGGCAAATGCTGCAAAAACAAGTTGACAAGCCACAGGCACTGGCAACAAAGTTGTTGGTACCCTCCTTCAAATTTGTGGAACAACACGCGTGTCATGACTGTGCTTGCCCAGCACAGTGTGCTTGCCCAGCACCTTGAAGGGGCTGTGCTTACCCAGCACAGATTGGGGGAGGGGGGGTGCTTGTCCAGCACATCTCAGGGAGCTTGTGCAGCTCCCTGTGGGAAAAAAAGAGACAATGAACAAACTGAGGGCTGCAACGGATTGAGCAAGAGGCCGATGAAGTTGCCCAGCTGAAAGCAGCACAGTTTCAATCCCTCACCCCACTTCACATCAGAACGATTTGGACACCCATCTTAGCAAGTAACAGTGCTGGCTAGCCGAGCTGCGTGGTGTGTGGATTGAAATCGCCTTTGATCCGGGTTGGGCAAATGCTGCAAAAACAAGTTGACAAGCCACAGCACTGGCAACAAAGTTGTTGGCACCCTCCTTCAAACTTGTAGATCTTGTTGGGATGGATGAGGAAGTCATTGAACTTAGCAGCAACACGCATGTCATGACTGTGCTTGCCCAGCACAGGGTGCTTGCCCAGCACCTTGAAGGGGCTGTGCTTACCCAGCACAGATTGGGGGAGGGGGGGTGCTTGTCCAGCACATCTCAGGGAGCTTGTGCAGCTCCCTGTGAGAAAAAAAACGACACGATAGAAAAACTGAGGGCTCAAACGGGCCGAGCAAGAGGTCGATGAAGTTGCCCAGCTGACAGCAGCTCAGTTTCAACCCCTCACCCCACTTCAAATCAAATCAGAACAATTTGGAGATCGATGAGACCCAAAACATGCAGCGTGGGTTTGAAATCGCCTTTGATCCGGGTTGGGCAAATGCTGCAAAAACAAGTTGACAAGCCACAGGAACAAAGTTGTTGATAGATACTGTTGGGATGGATGAGGAAATCATTGGGCTTAATAACAGCTGGTTTCTAGACATCATCACGCATGTCATGACTGTGCTTGCCCAGCACAGTGTGCTTGCCCAGCACCTTGAAGGGGCTGTGCTTACCCAGCACAGATTGGGGGAGGGGGGGTGCTTGTCCAGCACATCTCAGGGAGCTTGTGCAGCTCCCTGTGAAAAAAACGACACGACAAAAAAACTGAGGGCTCAAGCGGATTCAGCAAGAGGTCGATGAAGTTGGCTCAGGACAAACCCGCCTCCCACAGCCTGCCCAACCCTGAAACACATTCTGGGTTGTTCTCCCTTCTACCCCAACCTGAAAATCAATTTGTCAATGGCCAAAGGATTCTGGTAAAAAAACACCTCTGCCCACCCCCAAAAACCAAATTCAAAGAGAACAATAAAGGCTTCTTTGGGCCTGATTACTATAAATTTGGACCTGAATGCCATGAATTTAACTTCACGGCAGTACTCTGCTACACATGGGAGCGTGCTGTATATGGTCCCGGTGTGCCTAACATCGCGGGTCGTCCGAGCATTACACGATTTGGCTAGACATGAACGCAGTGAAGAAGAGTGTAACTGCTGTGTGCGCTCTTTACAGCATCTGACGCGTGGCGGTCGTCACATCCCACAGCCTGTAAAAACAGTATGAGTGGTGTGGGAGTGCGCAACAAGTGACAAGATTGAAAGCGCTGTTATGAGGGTGTTCACCTTGTGAAGCCACAAGCTGCAGCAGCGCGTGCTGCGGCGATAAAACTTCAAGAGATATTCGGATTGGAATGCAAGCAAATTCCTGAAATGCCCCAGGAAACCCGCCTGATATCCGGGCCCCTGGCGGGCTCAGCATCTTCACGCACGAGGCTGGGCAGAATCCCGTCCATTCCCTGCCAGCGGAACGCGTGTCCACCCCACCCGACTCAATGCGCTTGTTGTGAGCAACGCCATTCTTTGCCATGAGACTTGACATCCAATGTAAGCCAGACAAATGACAGGTGTCACGGCATGAATTGACAAACTGCGACATACACATACCCGCAACATACCCAACCGAAATCACGCGCCCGCAACAAGAAACATCATACTATGACTCAAAAACATCCGCTCAACAGTTGTCCATACACAGAGCTTGCAAACCGTCAATCCACACAGGCAAGCCTGCCCAATGTAGAAAAATTGCCACTCCAAACAGGACCACCGCGAGCAACATGCAACTCGCGCCAAAATCGCAGTGTGAGTTTGGGGCTGCGCGCCCAAGTGACTTCATGGCGATTCATGGCCATTGCTCCCCAGGCGTGCTCCTGTTACCGCCACGCGTGCTACTGCCGCCATAGCAATGACAGCCCGTAGCCAAACAAACCAAGCTAGCCAGAGGTGGCCGGCACTGTTGGCCAGGCGAATCATGTCTCAGCGCCGCATAAGGCTGGGTGTAAGGCCGCGTTGCTGCCGCTCTAAGACCGTCATTGCTCAAGGCAGGGCTTCTGCCAGGGACGTTCCAAAGTTGCCTAGAGGGCGGGTGATTGGGACAATCAGCGCTGCCGCAGTTCTGCTGCCGTGGCTTCATTTGACCGACAAAGCGCAGGCCCATCTTCCCCTCTCCCATGACTGTAGGCGCCTTACCTCCAAATGACGGCGGTTGACGTGTGATGGAACTGCCTCCGCTTCCCCCGCTTCCCAGCCATGGTTGCTCCCTGCACCGCATCATAATTGTACAGCACTCTGAGCATCCGCCAAGACAGGTGCTCAAATCTCCCGGTTATTTGGCCGGAATTGTCTGCGCAACTAGCAGTTATACGCCTGTCTCCAGCGACCAGGATGTCCACGTTGAGCTTTTTGCGAAAGATTTGGCTGGCTCCGCTTCCCAGTCGATGGATGCTGCCTGTGCCATATCATAATTGCAAAGCATCCTCAACATCTCCGCTGACTGCCCCTGCCGTGTTTCTGTTTGTTCCATATAACCCTATCGCGCATCCGGATGAGGCACCGGGTGGTCGCGTTCCACTTCACGCTCCTCATGCAAACTGAGGACTGGTCCCCGAGCCCGCGTCGACCAAAAAAAGGCGGTGGAGAAAACTATCCATGGTGGATCAAAAAAGCTCACGCGTCGAACAAACAGAAACCCCTCTGCAAGAAACCGTCGTGGGTGAGGTCATGCGCCAAAAGGTGAAGCTCAAAACTCTCGTGCGCCTCGGCAAATGGCCGCAGGCCACATCACCTGGGCACAAGTCAAATCCGAAGACATATTGGGCAGCAGCTGATGCAACATATTCTGTCAGCCCAATGCTACAATCAAATGGATGGGTGTGTTCAGCTCACGCCGGGGTGCCGGAAGCCCCCGAAAAGAGTCAACATGACAGGTTGAGTATTGCATGTTCGGGCTTGGTTTAGCTATCTTCGGAAGCAGCGAGGACACATTATAATATTCTTCAGGGGTATTTCTACATACCTTTTGCCATGGTTGGCTTCCGCTTTGGTTCCCCAAAAGGCAATCCCAATGGAGCCCCTAATTCTTGGGCACATCCGAATGAAGCCTGGAAGCTATGCACTCCCGCCAGATGAGAAATGCACACTCGAGCGCAAGTGAAGCCTAGGAGCACAGAGCTTTAGGCCACCGATTGCAAATCTTGTTTCACGATGCGCCAAATCAGGCGACATGTTTGCCCACCCTCCAAGTTGACTTGGGACAAGCGCCACCAAATCATGTTTTTTTTCCCGCCAAAGCGGACGGCCTTGATGCAGACTTGTGTTCCCGGCTACTTTGGCGATTCTTGGAAGGCGCAAGCACGGCATGCCTGAAGCATCGCCACAGCTGCATTCTCTCGCGCCTTCATATTAAATGCGGAGAACGCAAGTGCGACAAATACAATTCCAAAAGGAGATACGTGAAGCTGGAGCATGTTATGGTCAAGGGACAAACCTGGATCATCCTAATTTGTCAGTGGTTGTTTCAGCTCGACTTCGTTGCTGGCAATGCTGGTGATGCTGCCGACGCTGGTGACGCAACCTGTGGATCGAAGTGATAGCCGTCCGTGCGACGAACTAGCTAATTCGTCAGCGATCGTTTCAGCTAGGCTTCGTTGCTAGCGATGCTGGTAATGCAACGAGCTTAGTCTTCCCAATTTGAAAGGGATTGAGTGGAATCTTTGATTTGGTGATGTCTTTTCTTGCCGAAATCACGAATTTGTCACACGGCCGGCCGTCACCTCGAGCCGCATCGCCAGCCATCCCCAGCATTGCCGGCAACAAAGTTTTGCTGAAACAACCGGTGACGAATGGCCGCTTGAAGGTCCAGGGTCTGGAGCGATGTGTCCTTACGAGTTGGCTGCGTGTCACCCAGAGTTCCAGGTCTGAGGCCGGATTCGATCCCGAGCAGGAGAGGAAGACCTGAGGATGGATCGAGGGGGAGACCAGGGAGGAGTCGAAGGGGGTTAGATGTATCTAATTTGAGGAACCTCCCCACATGTCTGTTGGTTTTCCTGGAAAAAACTCCGCCTGCGCCTCGCCTGGCGGGGCCGGAAGCCCGCAGCCCGCAGCCCGGAGCCCGAAGCCCGGAGCCCGCGGCTGCGAAGGCCGGCTGGATGCAACACCTCTGACTCAACCAAAACGAGCCGTCCACGTAAGCTAAATGTGACCCACCCTTCCTTGAATTGACGTGGCACCTGTGGGGACCTGGATTAGTTTCCTTTTGAGGGACCCTTGTCCGTTGCCACGCTAGTGGGAGGAAAGGTAATTCAGCTAAGCTGCGAACCTTGGTGTAAAATGTGTAAATGAGATGTAGTCTCTGCAGGAGCATGCTGAATGAGGGACTCCCAAGTGAGCTCCTATATCTAAAGCGGTCCAGCCAAATGTGGCACCCCCCCCCCAACAATACGTGCGACTCATCCAACTTGCAATTCCTCTTCAGTGAGCCGCAACTCATTCACCGGACACCATTTCGCGCGATATGTCTCCAAAGATGATCCGACTACCGAATGCCGATCACGTCCAGCAATGTAGGAAGTCATCCTACGGCAAATAGCATTGTTCATTGGCAAGAGGAAACCACTTTCACGTGGCTATGATGTTTTGAAGGTATGCAACGCACGACGTGGCGCAAATCTTGCTACGGAGGTATGCAAATGGGGTCCGTGTTATGTAGGTGTGTCAGGGGAAAAAAGTGCTTGACAAGTACCAGTGGTATTCAGTTCAACGTCTTTTCAGAGAGGGCATATAACCGGGCAAGGAATGCCTGCCCCTCCAAAACAAAACAACATTACCCCTGAAAAAAAAAGACCGCACCTGCATAGTCCTTTCAAATCAACCTCATCATCTCGAGATTCACACGGACCTCGGATGAATAAACCATGTGGATTGATAGAGGGGTGTTTCCGCCCAAAGTGAGCGGATACCCCGATCGGAATCACAGGGATTCATCAATCCTGGGTTCCCATTGGCATCGCCGGAATTCAGCTTGCAGCCTCCTTCCATTTGTTCTGCGTCTTTTGCCTCGCCGCTCAAGAGAGTGACTCCCTAGTGAGACTCAGCCGGCGTCACCTGTCCTTTTGCTTCGCATAGAATACCCAGACTTCACTCTCGGCCCCATCCATTGGGAGTTGAAACTCCTGTGTGGGCTTGTCTCATGGGCAGGCTGCAAAATATTGATGTTCCTTTCGTTCACCCATTGAACCCCAAAGGGTACCCTCCAAAAGCCACACCCCGTGCATTCCGATGTCCAAAGAGCGGTGCTCGCCTGCTGCCAAAACCTCCCCAGCCCTCAGCCGAGCACTCGGCCTGGATGCGGGTCACCGGGTTAAACTGCAGAAGGAATCCCCAGGTACCCGAAACACTGCAAGACCACGAATCAAGCACTGGTCTTGCTGTCGCCTCCTTACATAGGCTTACGCAGGGGCATCTGCCCTCTGCCTGGCAAAAGCTACAGGCCTTACTTGGCGTGCCATGTGTCTTTGGTGCCTTTCCTTCTCGTGCCCCTTTGCCCGTCTTCGTAAATGACGCCTTAAGCTTGCAGCCTGTCCCTGTGGTTTGCCGCAAAAGGACTCTTGCAAGCATTCCTCTTCTGAACTGGCCATTGAGTTTGGACATGGCTTCTCACCATGCAATCTGTTAAACCCGGGCAAATCAATAAATATTGCTCTTCAAGGAACATCTGCTGTAGTTTGTTCGCTGTTGAAAGAGCTCCTCTCTACTGGACATCCCCGAATTGGTGCAGCTGTCGGCCTCTGTCACTTCTCTCAAGATATCTTCACAGCTTGGCTTTGCGGTATGCTCAAACAAGGGGATTGACTGAGTGGAATCCGCAACTTCACCCCTCATTCGGAAACAAGATCCTTATCTGTTTTTCCCGGAGCCCTCATCTCCAAGGGTGACGCTACATCCCCCGTCCAAGTTTCGCTTCAGGTCTCAGATCCAATCTGTTGAACATTGGATTCTTCAGCTGTCCAGACACACAAGCCAACGGGTATCAAAAGTACAAAGCCTTTCCAACGCTGCGGATTGCCCAAACCAGCGGCTTGCAACGTCCTTGGTAGCTCCCGCGCCTTCAGAAGTTCCCGCCTGGCACAAGGCAAATGGAAAGGGCCCCTCGTATGGGGCTTCACCATTTTAGACAAGTCAACGAAAGCAACGGCAAACAGAACTCATAGAATGCCAGCCGCACAGCGATTGGAAGGTTCTTGCTGAAACCAATGCTGAAACCATGGAAGCGATCGGGATTGTACCCGCTCGAACAGCGGTGTACTGTGGCAACTTGCCAGCCAACTCCAGGTAGATGACGTGGTGCAATCCACTATGGCCAGCGCCGCACCCGTGCCCCGCGCAACCCCCACGCCGCATGCCGTGCTCTCTTTTTGACCAGTTGAGTAACACCCGTTGGGTCTTGCAAATAACGAACATTCGGCAGACCTATGCCCCAAAGCCCCCCGGTGATCATATGCCGCCAGGGGTGGCTTCCAGCCAGCGCACTGAGGCACACGAACAGCCGCCCACGCTGACGGCCGATCTGTTTGAAATATAGAGATTTCGGCGGCTGCTCAGCTGGAAAATGACCTTGATGTACAGCCACATTGCACTTCAGCATGTGTTTCCCGTTTGGGTTCACTGCAAAACTTTCGAAGGAAGCGGCAGAAACAACAAAGAATCAATCTCCGTCTTACGCATTGTGTCAAGCACCTTGGCCTCCAGTCTCCCTCGGAATGCTCGAAGCGGCCTTCCGACCACTGTCGCCTACATGATATGCTCGACACCACCGGCTACTGTCGCCATGCTCTGCCCCAAGAGCAACATTGGTACAGTCGCAGATCCACACATGGATCTGGCGTGCATTCCCAAGCCCAACGCAGACTGGGAATGGCCAGGAAGATGCTGGTTTTCATGTGTAACCTGGATGCTGTGTTTTCTGAGGAGACTGTGACACCCTTCTGCTCGCCACAAGCAGTAGGGTGTATGCTCAATTCTTCCTACCGCCCGGCGTCGGCTCGGCTGAAGCCAAGCCCGGGGTCCCCTGTAGCCGGTGAGTCCCAATTACAAAGCACCGCTGAAGGAGACACAAACCTTTGACATGCTGTCCGGCTCCGTTCTTGGAAGAGCTCGCTTTGTGCCTCCGAAGCAGACAGGCTCCTCTTGCAGAATGCCTCAGCAATTTCTTGGACCTCGATCTGCGGAATGCACCGGCTAAGTTGGTGCTCAAAAGGTATGAGACATATTGCTCTAATGCCAAACAGGGGTGCTTGCACACTCCAGTCACTGCAGTCCGGAAAATTTCGCAGTTGTGCCTAACATTCCGCAGCTTCGAAGTTTACAGCCACGATTTCTGTCCCTCATATGAAGGGCCGCATCTTGCACGCGGGCAGCAGAGCTGCAATGGTGTCTGTGCAAGGGGCCAGAGACGGGAAGCAATCCGTTTTTCCCTTTCCAAGAGAAAACACGATAGGACTTGCTCGAAAGCCACGCCCGCGTCTGGGCGTAGGGAATCGCCAAAACAGCCCGACTCGGGCATGGCCGGAAAAACGGTCTCACTCCCAGTATCTGGCCGCAGCTGGCCACGCATGAATTGCGAAGCAAAGGGATCGGAGGGGTAGAGCTCTGGCCCGCCCCAAGTTTGAACTTTACTGGGCGTTTGATGGCGTTTATCATGATTGCAAAGGGAAACCGCCCTTCGGATAGTACTCCTGGTCATGGACACTGGCCAGAGCCCTGGCGAGCAACAAAAAGGCTCAAGACGTGGTTCTGCGAGGCATTCGGCTCCCAGCGCTCAGTGAATCTACCTCAGGTTCAAAAGGAGTGATTGCCAAACACGCAAGTCCAAGGCTCAGGAGACACAAACAGGACACATCAAGCGACTGGAGAGTTGAGAGCTGGCATGGCTCATCAGGACGTGTCTAGTCCGATCCCTTCTCGACTAAGCGCCAGGCTCCCAGTAGCGATCATCGGACTTGACGATGTCCGACCCGAAGCTAAAGGTACATGCGAAATGCGGATTGGCCGGGCCTCAGTGCCGAGGGCAGGAGCAAGACAAACGGGCTCAATGGGGACGGGGTAAAGCCTGAAGGACTTGCAACCTGTGGTGCAGAAAGCCGAAGAAGCTGGCTTAGCTATAAATTGAGAAGCCGCTTTGGACAGGTGCCAACAAACAATACATCAACACCAAGCCGCCAAACAAAATCAAGCTGCTTGAAGGACCCAAGGCGGACAGATGCAGCCCTTGTCAGATACAGTAGGGGCGTCCTCCTCTCTCACGGTTTCTTCCGTTGACATCATACGCAAGCAAGCACACAAGTATACCCTAAGCAACATCTGACATTCAAGGAGTCTACCCAACAATGCAGGGATCTGCCGATGGCCAGTCACTTCTATAGGTTGAGAAAGTCCCCGACCCATTTGTGGTTGCGAATCCTCGCATCTTTAAGTTTGCCTCGCTTGCTGCTGCTTCTTAGACTTTCCCTACAGGACTAACCCAATGGTGTAAAAGGTCTCAGCTGGATAGCGATTCAGCGATTCCCTGCCTGGAAAGCAGGTTCAGTCCAGGCTCGAAATCGTTTGGGCCGCTTTTCTGAGGCTTCAAAGCCTAACAGAGTGATAGACGATCCTTGACAGGGCATTGCCCCGACACGTTTTGAAGGGCATGTCAAACACACGCTACACACACGCTAGTATGGCATCCAGCCCCAGGTTTCGTTGATCTCCCCAAGAGGGCAACCTCTGGGTTTAAGTCCACCTGGTAGAAAAGCATGCTTTCCTGGAGCAAAGGGTACAGCATGTGTCCCGCATTCTTCGGGGAGCCGTCAAAAAAAGAACTGGATTTTCGGGATCAAAATAAATTCTCGACACCCGCATCAACAACAAAAATACAGGATCAAAAACAAATTATCTCGCCCGAGGGTGTCAAAACGCTGTAATTTACTTCATCTTCAGGCAACAGCGCACGCATTTCACGACTCCAGCTGCAAAATAGACACTTTTCAGTACAAGCGCAGTACACGAAGATAACGGGCTTAGGATTGGTTTAGGGTTGGCTTGGGGTGGGTTTAGGGTTGGCTTGGGGTGGGTTTAGGGTTGGTGAAGGTTTGGTTTAGGGTCTGTTTAGGGTAGTTTTATGGTGGGCTTAGGCTGTTTAGGGCCGGTTTAGTGTCTTGCTTAAGGTTGATTTAGGGTAGGTTTTGGGCAGGTTTAAGGTGGGGTTTAGGGTTGTTTTAGGGATGGTTTAGGCTGGGCTTAGGGTTGGTTTGGGGTGGGTTTAGGCTCTGGTTCAAAAGTTGCGCAGGGTGGATGCCAAGCTTGGTTTGTATGTTGGCTTTGGGTTGGTTGGGGTGGGTGTGGGTTTGGTGTAAGGTCAGAGAGCCCAAGAGACCAGGACACCAGGGATAGGAGACCGGGAGACTAGGAGACTAGGAGACTAGGGGACTAGGAGAGCAGGAGACTAGGGCAGTAGAGGGGACTAGGACACCAAGAGACCAGAAGACTAGGTCTCAATAACTTCTTTTTGTCCCCTAAATAGTTTTTAGTTGATTCCCTAAACAAATGTGTTTTGATGCCCATCTCCATTTCTCGCCTCTCCGTGCTCCGATCCGTTTCTCCAGAGACTCCTCTCGCTTTGGGCAACAGGCCATCGCCCCAATACTTGTCGTCGGTGTGGAACACATCCGAAGTCGCGACCTCGGTGATTCACGCGAGAAATCCTCTGAGAATCAGCCTCCCTCCATTTTTTTGGAGGGGGTGGTTCGGAGGTTTGGTGGATGAATTGGTAAGCCCAAGCACCTTTTTTGGGTGGTGCGGAGGTTTGGTGGTGTTCTGGGGTGGTAAACCCCACAAAGCCCTCTGCAAGGAGACTGGGAAACCCAAGCACTAAAGCAACAACAAATGATAAAGCTAAGGAACCGGATGGCCGGTAACCAGAAAGATGAGCATTCCTGTGAGAACTTTCAGCCGAATCGGTGGTTCGGTGGTGCTCCAGGATGGTAAACTTCATGCTTTACCCTCAAGAACCAGGAGTTCAGATCCGAATCCACATCACCAATCCAACCCAACCAACCTAAGCGATGCCTATTGTTGTGCTGTTTGCCAGACCTGTTCTTTCTGTCTTCAAGAAGAACCAGCCAGGAGAACCAAAGGAATCACGAACAAAGCAAGGTTGCGCCTGGAAGCGAGAAGCGCGCACATATTCAGAGTCAATGTCCATGGACCAAACCAAAGCCGGTCATTCGGTATGGCAAGATCCAGTTGGTTCCAGAAACCAGGACTGACATGTCGCATGTCAACATGCTCCACAATCACATCGGGAAACACAGAGCTCAGATTTCAAGCCCAATGGCATCCCAAGTAGATATAAACAACCATCAGATTAGGGAGGTACAAGGGGCTGGGTAGTTGAGAGACCCTTTCGCGTTCGAGAGCCTTAGGGAACCTCCCCCCCGGACAACCCCCTGTTAGGGATTCCATAATCAGAAGTACGAATGGTCATTGTAGGGAACCTTCACCAGGCAATGGTCTAGGGGACCCGTTCTCTTTCCATCCAAAAAGCTGTTTCTTGGACCAACCAAAATGTCAAATGGAGGCCGAACAGGCTTGTGGGTGGACAAATGAACGGGTCGCCCAAAACATTCAGTGCTACAGCTTCTTGAGGTGTCATCATCTTCGTGCGGCAAAATCACCATTGTGAGGGGTCCCCTGAATAAAGACACGCCTAATATGTTGTACGCGATGGCTACTTAATGGCCTACACGTGGCGCATTTACATGCGCTAGCAACCAATCACAACTTCATGTCGTTGGGCAAGGTCCAACCAATCGACTGATCATTCTTGCCAAGATTTGAAGCTGACCAACAGGTTGCAACCCAACCTGCTGTGGAAAAACGCATGACATTGACCCAAAAGGTGATGTTTCATAGCTTCATCGCTTCATTCCCCAACCCTCCCCTGCCCTCAGCGGGCGGGCTCAGGGCTTGGTTGACGTTGGAAGGGGAGCAACAATTGATTTTTTAGCAGTTAAGTGGGGATTTGCCACTCAACCACAATAAGCAAAACTGTAAAATGTTTCCCAACAACAACCATGAGGGGAGGGGCACCATGTTCCAACCCAGCGACCGGAGGCTCCGCTTGTTCCGAGTGAGTGCCTGACGCCAGGCGCTGGAGCCTCGTCGGAGTGGCCCACGTCGGACTTGACCTTGGCGATCTGCCGAGAGATGCAGGGAATGAGACATGGGGATGATCCCGATTTCATCCAACCAACTGGCTGTTTCCGTTAAGGGACTTCCCATTTCAACCATCCAACTGGTTTCCGCATTGAAACCATCCAACTGGTGGTTTCCGTTCATTCCATTTCTCATTCCCTGCTCACCAGCAAGAACACATGCTTCGAACGAGTGGTTCAAAGGCTGGTTCTGCAACACATTGGAGCTCAGCTGGGCCCTGCCAACACCCAAAAGCCATTTACTGAAAGGGCCAAAAGGCTGTGGGGCATATTTTCCGAAGAGGTTGCGGGGTCCACGCCGGCTCAACGAAACACGGGCGATGGATGTTGGGCAAAAACTACAAATTTTGGACCGATCGACACACTGGGCAAACAACCAGTCATTGCGGCCACGTGTCGAAAACTTTGAAGGTTCCAATTCAATCAATGCGTTCCGTCACCTGAGCGTTTTGCTCCTTGGTGTAGCATGCCTCTGGCCGTCTATGCCCTTCCTTTGCGTCAATCTGAGAGCCTTCTGATGCGGGGCTTCAGAGCACCAACGAAGTACATTGCTGCTTTGCAAGCATCTCTTGGTCAAATATCGTGCCAGGCACGTGGACCTATTGTGTTTTTTGCCTGACAACAAGCATCCATTTCTAAAGTATCCTCTGCACAGAGGGCTCGTTTCGAAAGGCATCTCGGTTTGTCAACAACACGTCTTCTGGCTGAACGACACTGGCACAAATGTTATCAGAGCTCACAATCTGCTCGCCTCGCTGAGGCTGCAGCATTCCATCCGTCAGCTTGGTGCACTATCTTTGGAAGGGTCACGTATGCCTCCGCTCAAAAATCCGGCACCAAAAACATACGAGGTGCTATCGGACACATCTCGATAATTCGCCCACCAATAGGTTTGTCTGATGACTCGCTCACATGTGTTGCTGGGCTCACATGAGTCGCAATCAACACTCGGTACAACAATGGGCGGCCAAGAACCATGTAAAGAACTAAGAAGGCGGATATCCGCAGCTATTTATGGCTGGGATCGTTCCTTACTAACTTTCACTTACCTGAATTAGTTTTGATGCCTCACATGACTCAGGATTGTGCTATCTCTGATCCTCAAAGCTGACCAAGGAAGACTTCGAGCTAAGGCAGTAGTCCAAAACTTTAATTCAGCTGACTCTCGCATTTACTCGTCTGCGGCGATGTTTTGGTTGCTCGCTCGGGGAGAAAATCCATTTCTGCTGCTGCTTGGCGGAGGCAAACCACCAACTCAAAGCCAAGATCTCCCCCTCGCCTCCCACAATTTGTGTGGGGAGGTGACTCCAATCCATTGCCCATTGCCGGCCTTGATGTCCCCATCTGCGCAAAGCGTTGCCATAAAATTGTCCACCGGCTGATTGACGGGAAGCCTCAGCGCTGCTTGACATCGGTGCTGTAGAAACAAAAGTCTTTGCTGGAAGCCTGTCTTACCCTTGGCGTGTCATTGTTGCTCCGTCTTGCCTTGAAGAGAAGTAGATATATCAACTGACAGCACGCACAACCTGGTCACAAACACCAAAGACAATGGTGCTGTGAGAATCTTGAAGCAAATGAAGCTTGGAATTTTGTGCAACGGACTCTGCAAACACAGAAAACATGAGCAAAGGCAAACGGCCGTGGCGGTGATTTATTTTAAGCGTGCCCGCAGCTCACACCAACAAATTTGGGGTGAGACGCCAGTATCACCTGCTGGTTTTCGGGAGACACTTGAAAATCGGAAAATTCATTCGCCTTTAGATTTGATGTAGTCAAACAAAATCAAAGCCATGTGCGGCTCTGACATATTCCTGTTCATCTAGCAGGCTGCACTACGATCATCTTGGTGCTAAACGTTAAAATCTACAAGCGATTTCGACATTCAGTCTCACTGAACATATCAAAGTTCCAACTCGCCTTTGGCAAGCTGACAACTCTTGGCTAAACATGACACACCTTTGAACCGACCATGTGGAAGTTTCTCAAATCAGTGGACCAGCTTTTGGTTGGTATTCAAAGGGAAACCAAGAGCCTTTTAGTGGACCCCCTATGTTGAAAAACATCCACGACACCAAGAACTTTGCTACATGCCTGCCAGGCGTAGCCATGCTGTATTGTTTGGATCGACTCCGAAGGCCCGCGCTTGGACAGCAACTTGCGCGCACCTTCAGGCCAAACCAGGTACCTGGAGACCGCATCCCCCTTCCGAACGAGTGGATTGGCCCAAGGGTCCGAACTTTTGGATGCCATGGGCCAAACCCAAAAGCTAGAAAGTGCAGGAACTCGGGAAGTGAGCATCTGATAGCAACTTGGTCTTCCTTTTTATATAAGACGATATCCTAGTGCTATGCGGGACATGCGGGACGTGCCAAATGAGAGCTCAGGTGTGTCAAGCCTCGCTCAGCTGCGTCTCTTCGGTTGGACCCTTTTGAAGCGCGGCCATGATTCGAGGGATTTCTTGCCATATCCAGAAGTGTGCAACGTATGCATTCATTGTCTGGCAACCGAAGCCTTACTGTCCCTGTGTTCTCTCCCTCTCCTGTCCCCTTCTCTCTCCTTCTCTGTTGCCGTCCCTTCTGGCAGTCTCGGAGCACGCGACTGTGGTCCATACATATTCTGCCTGGCATCTCACTCCGTTCAGCTGAAAAGAAATCCAGCTTCGATACAAGAAAGAGCGGCTGTATGAAGGGCACAGCAAATCTCTCACCAGGCGCTCAAAAGCCGCTAAACCTGCTTTCAAATGACAAGAGGCATGAGGCTCATGCAGCAACAGTCCGAACCAAGCTCTGACATTAAATTATCCTTATCAAAAACACCACAAATATATCACTCTCGCACCTCATCTGGAACTTCCCTCGGATGGGTTTATCTAAGCAACTGAAAGGATTGCACCTGCCTCTGCGACGTTCTTGGACACGTGCCTTCGCCACTCAGCAGCCTGGAATCGACAACAAACAAGCGACACACGATGCACAAGTAAATGAGTACCGGATGAGCGGGTGGATGGGTCCCTCATGCCAGACCTCCAAGACGCCAGATCACACCATAAAGGAGCTAGCCGGAGGGATAAACCCAGGGTGGTAGGAGGCATTCACAGCTTACAGTGGCACTCAATTTCTTCAAGTGCAACTCAGTTGGCCGTAGAGCCTCGGTCAGATTGCCACGCAACCGCTGATCCTTGGAACAAAAATAGCCTCTGCTCGAGGATATTTCGTACCAGCTTGCCCGGCAACTTGATTCCGCCTTTGCTGCTGTCCAAACATGTGAGCACCTGGTCAAGCCTCATGCACACGTTCTGTCCATGTCCAGCTTTCCAAAGAGCTGATCGCCGGAAAGGTCTGAAGCGCTGAACCGACTCCTTCCAAATACTTCACCAACTCCAAGGCCACGCCACAAGGGCCTACACCGTCGGTGGCAGCTTGGTACGATTGAATGGAGTGCCGGTGCTGACAATCAACACTTGAAGTGCTAGGCTGGACAACACGTTGAACTTGGACAAACACTGGGTGTGGCTCAAAATTAAACAGCCAAGGTTTTCTCTTGGTTTCCATGTACCAATGTGCCACCTTGGGTACCGTTTTTGAGCATGGGAAACGAGTCCTGACCCTTCCGGCCTGAGAGTAGCCCAGGTAGAGCACATCGGCATCTCTTGGCAACGACGTGAGGGCCTGAGACAAAACCTGGCGCGCCCCCCAATGCCCCAAGACCATCCTAGAGGACACTCCTATTTGGAGACCCCATTGTGGGTCCACGTTCATTTGCAGGTGGGGGAATTCGGAGGAGAAAAGGTTCCCGATGAAAGGAAAGGTTCAAGCTGGTGCCACCGGGTTGGTCGCTATGATTGGGCCTTTTCCACCCGTTGAATACGTCCCCCTCCCAAGAAGAAACGTGAATGGAGTCTCCCAAGCCCAACAAGCACACCATCTATTCATCTTCAAGCAGTATTTTGTGCTGAAGCGTACGAACGGCACCTGCTTCAGCCAGGCCCATATGGCGTTACGCCGCGTGAAGCATATGCGCCACCGGCAGTCTTTCTGACATGAACATTGAACTTGGGCGGACTGCGAAGGTCGATGCCTCTCTGAACTCCTTGGTTGGTACCGCGTCATCTTCCATGACCTCGGCGGACCAAAAGCGGTCCACTTTTTCGTCCAAACAAACAGATCACAAGTCCATCCCCTTCTAGCCCGTCTACGTCTCCGATAAGGGGCGTTGCTCCTCTCTCTCTTTCCTTCCATTTGCTTGAGCCACATGGAAAGAAAAGAAACATCTGTCCAGTAGTGATAGATTCCTTTTCAAGCCAAGGGAACATCACAATTCTTCATTTCAGCAAATGAAAGCTTCCAGGCATGGTCAACTCCTTGACCATGCCCATGCCCTTCTTCTGATCCCAGGCGTGTAAGTCCCACCGGGATCTTCCTTGAAATCTCACGCAAGTTGTGCTGCATGTCCAAGACCCAAGAGAGGCAAGCGGGTGCCAGCAGATCCAGGTGATTTCAGGTGCAGGTTTGGCCCTTTCAAGAGACAAACGGCAGTGGGTGCACTGGACATCTGGTTTCATGGCCACCAATTATCAAGCGTTGTCGTGAATCTGCCCAGATTTTTTTTCCAGCTTCCGATGGGCCTCCGGGAGCGGCATTTTTTCCACACGTCCGGCTGCTTTCACCCGGGAATCCGTCATCGGTGAGAGCCAACTGCCCGGGGAGCCCGGCCAGCATAGGCCGCTCTGCACCTAGCGAAAGCAAAAGAGTTGCCGCTCACCATGATGGCCGTATCACATCTGAGTCCACGGGATATATCTCTTATGGACCAAAAGGACACCTACTATGTGGAGCGAGCATCCGTTTGAACATATATGTCAATGTCCCGCAAGCTTTTTTGACAGTTCAGGTTCTTTGAACGGCAGTACACCAGGCTCGTCACACGTCTGGGATACGAAATGCAAAACCGTTGCTTGAGTGACTGTTCCTGCTGCTCATCGCACTTGGCCATGTAATTGGGACGCACTCGCCCGGCTGCGTTTGTCATTCTCGAAAAACCTCCCTCGCTTTTCCGCGGATTGGGGCTCTGATGTATTCTGAAGTGGTCTCTCCGCTTGCTGTTGGGTAAATCACCCACCACCTTTCATGGGAGGGCGCGGCCACCTGGCTGGGGAATCATAGCAAGGTCAGCATAATTTCCTGGGGTGGAAGACCCAGACCCTCTAGTACACACCCCAGAAATGGTTGGGGTCTCAAAATCTGGCTGTTTGAGGGCCCAAAATAAATCGGGAGCGTCTGGGTACAGATAGAACCAACAGTCAGTCATGGGCCCAGCTCCAACTGAATAGCTCTCTTTTGTTTGTTTTGTGAATGATTCACCAAGGGAAGGCGCCTGATATACATGGGGGGTGGTCAATGTACCGTTCGGCCCCCAAACGACCGAATGTGCCCATTTAGTGGTTGACATATCATCTTGGGTGGCGGTGTTCCAACCAATGGCCCTCTCATGTACCCTCCCGCCAATTCACGGAACCTGACAGGAGGTCCTGTTAGAAGGGAAATGGTCCAAACCAGGACCCCCCTGTCAGGTTCTATGTTAATTGGTGGGAGAGGTCATCGGACCCTTTGAGCAACCTCATCCTAAGGCTGACACTTTCGCAGTAACGCCAGGCCCGGATGTGGGACATCGCCTTGGCCGAAGTCGACACATGCAACCAAAACTATGACTTGGTCCAGCTCGGCTTATTGCTTTCGTGCTTTAACAGGGTTTAGATTGGATTAAACGCTAGCCGTAGGCGGGGTTTAGGACTGGCTTAAGGAAAAGGGTTGCCCATCATTGCACTTCAAGCTGCGTTTTCCAGAAAATGGCTTGAATGAGACAACTCCTATACAACTGCTTGCCATTTGCCCTGACCCGGATTTGCGTATTCAAAATCCGTGTATCCAACATACGAAAAAGAACAGTTGGGGTTGTGAAAAAACCCCGTGTCCCCGCAAACGTGTTATCGTTCTTTTTCACTCTTATCGCTTTGCAGGGGTTTCACTCAGTAGCGCGAGTCTAGCATGCGAACTGCACTTCCGCAGCTATCGCAACTTTGTAGCACAAGTCTAGTAATTACGCGAAGTGCACTTCCGCAGCTCCAGCTCGGAAATCGCAACTTTGTAATACGCACTTCCGCATCCAGCTTCGGAAATCGCAACTTTGTAGTACAAGTCTAGTACGAGAAGTACATTTCCGCAGCTCGGAAATTGCAAATTTGTAGCACAAGTCTATCCAGTACGCGAAATACATCTCCGCAGCTCGGAAATCGCAACTTTCTAGTACAAGTCTAGTACATGAAGTACACTTCCGCAGCTCCAGCTCGGACATCGCAACTGTGTAGTACATTTCGGCAGCTCCAGCTCGGAAATCGCAGCTTTGTGGTACACGTCTAGCACGTGAAGTACACTTCGGCAGCTCCAGCTCGGAAATCGCAACTTTGTAGTACAAATCTAGTACGCGAGGTACACCTCTGCAGCTCCAGCTCGGCAGTCACAATTATGTAGTACAAGTCTAGTATGCAAAGTACACTTCCGCAGCTCCAGCTCAAAAATCACAACTTTGCACAGCTGCAGCTTGGAAACCGTGACCGACGCCCTGTTATCGTTTTTTTTTGGTTTTAATCGTTTTGAGGGGTGTTGGAAGCAAGAACTATTCAGGGGCACGTCCCTTCATAATTCTTAGGCGCGGGGCTGTTTCACAATCCCAGTTGGGGCTGCAAAACCATGCTCCCTCCCCCCCCCCCCCGACCCCGCCGGCCATCCCGATGAAGCATCAACCGACCAACGAGGTCCCTGCGCAACCCCTCTCGCCAGCGCTCATGTCCAGCTCACGGACCACGTAGGTGTGCAGGTCATCCCAGCCTTCACGCCAGATGGCCACATGGCGAAAGCGCAAAACCCATTGATCTTGGCTCTGGTTGTAAAACTTTGTGAAGGCCTACCCATGAAACCAGGTACAGCACCAAACTGGCCACTAGGGGTTTTGGGGACCACCTTTCAGGGCTGGAAAAACACGCCACAGTCCTTCTACCCAGGCAAGGCTCGGTACTGGCATGCTGCCATGTTCTCTTGTCCACGCGTAAGTGGCCCTATGGTCTTCTTGAGGACCACCCCAGAAACTTGCCAACCAGTGCTGAAGCTGAGACATTCTACACTGACCTCACCCCCAGGAAACAAGGCACATGCCCAAGGACCTATCAGACCAACTATATGTCAAAGCATATGATTGGTGAAACCTGTCTGCTGGCCCAAGGGCCAGCATGCTTGTGAGCAATGTAATATCTTGTGGTTAAATTTGGCTTGGCGCAATCTGTCCACAAGATGGTTGATCAAACACCTTGTCCTGTGGCAGGTGTGTATTGCTGGTTGTGAATGTGGACTCCGGTTTCTTGCTTTGCTAGGAAATGTTACATGCCAGCCCAAAACACAAATGGCACAAGCTGTTCACCCTGGTAAAGCTTGTATCTACCTGCCATCCTCTAGTACCTGCGTGTTGGCGCGGAAGTGCCAACATCTAAGGGTGGAAGTACATATTCTTCATACCCCTTGGCTTCGCTGGTTCCCATCCCACTTTATGAGGGGTATACAGATGCTCCTTTTGGGTAGTGGGGCATGAACATCTGCCCAAAGGGTATCACAAAGGGGTACAAAGCCCCAAACAGCACGCAGTTGCTTCTTCATATCGCAATCGTCAGCTCGAAGCTGTCGACACAACAATCCCCTCGCGTCCGTGCACATGGACAGGGGAAGGCAGGAAAACGACATTGGCCAGTAGCGACTTTCTATTGCGGTTGGGTGGCCATCCACGTGCAGGAACAAGGTATTCAAGGAGCTTCCAGGTTTCCCGCGCTGCGCATCTTCCAGAGAATGCCATGCCATGCACTCCATGGATGGCTAAAACTGGGCCCATCGTCGCGCCTTTTCTGCGGGATCGGATCTTCTGGTAGACCACGTTGCGACCAGTGTGCCAGCGGTGAGTCACCTCATCCGCGCCGATCGAGTCCAACCTCCCATCGCTGGCCCGCATTCGTTCGTACCTATCCAGGGATTCGCAGCTGACGCATCGTCAAACCCATCTGCAGATAGGGCACTCTTTTTGGCCTGCAAAATTACATGGTGACGATTAAGTCCATTTTTTAGGGTCGCCATTCATCCTTGCCTCTTTTTGGCCAATCCCGAAAAAGTCGACAATGCCCTTTAGAGCCTCTTGCCGAGCAGAAGCCCCCCCCCAAAAAAAATCGAAACTCATATCCATCAGGTCGTTTTAGTGCCCATAATCTACCGCTCCAATGGGTCGCCGGTCTCTAGGCGTGGGGTTTGCGAAGCATGGCGCACTCCATGGAGTGCACATCCAAGCGCTTGCCGCACTCAGCTAGGCGATCCGGTCCTCAGATGATTTTTTTCCCCGGAAGTCGGCCTGAGGCTCTCAAAGTTGAGGCATCTTTGGAACAAACTGCCAGGGCCCATCCAAAAGCTTGCTCATTTCGAACCACGCATACAATCACACCTTTTTTTTTGGGACGAGCGGAGCCCAAAGAAGGCCCATGGTTCGGAGGCCTGAGCTCAGCACTTCTGTCCAAGTTAATGACCACGGCCTGGCAAAAGCCAGGGATCCCTGCCGAAGACCAAGCAGCAGGTTCCTTTGAATGTCCCCGTCCCTTTGTTCTCGGGTCGGACATCCCTGCTTGGAAGACAAGCGGATGCCTCAAAGAGAAGGGTGAGTTCCAGAAAAGCCAGAGAAGACATGAAATAGCGAGGAGAGGAGTCGTCTATCGCACAACTCCCTATGCCGAGCGAGGTGCCAATGATTATTATTGTTTCAGTCTTCTTTGCCAGGGAGGTTGCATCGTCGTGTCCAGGAAAGTCTTGTTTTCTAGGAGGCTGCTGCAAATTGAGACGTGCACTTTGAATATCTGTGAATGATGACTGTAGGCCGACCATTTGCATATGCAGCCTCCGCTCAGCCTCATGATTTGCCATCTAGCTGTCACTGGCGCACCATCATTGATCAATAAACCCTTCTGCTCTTGTTTAAGTCTTGACCTTTCGAATGTCTGAATGTCTCCCTGAGTAGACGGGGCAAGCAAGTTTGAACTTGTCATTTATCACCAACATGGTCTGCCCAAAGAAACGGTCCATGAACTCAGGGAGTGAGATGTAGACGCATGTTTGACCTGCGGTAGGTCCCGTTCCGCCTTGACGTCACGCAGATCTGTCGAGGACTTGGGATCAGCCACCTTGGCTGTAGGTCTGAGACTTCCAAAGAAGGCATTGTGCAAAGGACAGGTAGGTACTTTGCTTCTCCATATGGGTATGTCTATTTTTTGACCTACCCCCCCCCCCCCCCCCCCACCATAAATACTTTCCCTTTAGTGTCCCTTCAAAATAGCCCCCAAAAAACAGGTAGCCACCCATACTGTTCTCGCGTGAATAAGGTGCACCCCTGCATTCGAACCCAAAAACCTGCAGGATTTGACAGCTGCACGAGAGACAACTCCGGCACGTGGCACTTGCCAGGCGGCAATGGGCTTCGGCTCTCCTAAGTCGACAGAAAGTCGAAAGTGAGGGAGGTGTTGAAACATGGATTCGACCAAACCAAGACTTGAGGGACACGACTCAGACTGTTTTCGTTCTTTTGTTTTTGCGGGATCGTTTGAAGTTTGCCGCCTTCAGCTTTCAGCACGTTGCAAAAAAACCCGGGTAAAACAGCTGACGAGGCTACGGAGGCAACTTTGGCTTCAAAACGCACGTGGATGTCCCAAGTCTCGAGAACGCCCGTTGAATGTGCAATGAATCAAAGGCTTCCCCCAGCGACGTCCGTAACCAAACCCCAAAGAAGAATATGACAGTCAAGCCTGAATAAGGGCTTGTTTACCCGGTTTTTCTTTTTTTTACTCTGATGCTTGGCTTATCCTCAAGGCGTATGTTCCAGGGGCCTGGTGGTGCAATCCTCGAAAGAAGTTGGGGGTACTGTGCACCAAGCCTTTGTTCGTAGAAAGTTGGGCGTTGTGGCTTTTGGAAGCGGCCTGGAAAGCATCCAACCATATCCTTCAGTTGTCAAACGGTGCGCACCGTGTACCACCTAAAATGAACCAACGTCTCACGAATCAGTGAAGAGCTCTGGATTTGTTAATTCATCTGCTAAGTGCTCAGTTCATGACCTCTGTGTTCATGTGTTCTAACGAACAATGAGACGTAGGAGCAGCAACTACCCCTTTTCATAATCTGAACACTCTTGGACAAACACTTACGGTATATGGCCGTGGGTCAAAACCAATGGGATACCATTTGGGGGGGTTTTCGGTGCACCACCCATTTTAGAACGTATTCTAGTGGGGATTGGAATGTTCACTTGGGGTATGATTTGGCTTTTGACCCATGGCCATATGTTTGTGGTCAAAAATATTTGCCAAACATGGAACCCTGGTAAATGGAACCAAGGACTAAAACCTGCGGTCCCCCGGTGCATTAATTTTGACCCATACCCATTATGCTTGTGCACGTGGAGCAGCTCATCAAGGACAAGCATCCCTTTGCTGATCGCTTGGAGATCGAGAAGAAACGCAACAAACCCATCGAAAACCCATGAGTTGCAATAGTTCACTTAAAGCCTTAAAGCTTAACTCAATCGGTCATGCAATGTTACCTTCAAAACTCTAGCGGTTTGTACAGCGCAATTGTCATCCATGCACTCGCTTATTTGTCAAGCTCCTTTCTGTATTCAACCTGTTGGCATAGATCGCAACGGGTCAGGGTGCTTGATCAAATTCCAGAATATCGATATATGTGCTGCATCGTGTAATCCAATTTCTACAAGAGTTTCAGACCCTTGTCCCTCTCTGCGCAAACTGCGAGACTGTGTTTGGTGGGGGGTCATGGACTGCTTTGCACAAGGCCCAAGTCATTCTAAACCTGAAAGGAGGTCCACACACTCGCGCCAGTCTGCCGAGTGGCGCGTCACGGGGAAGTCATGCTCCCCGCATGGCTTTCCGTCGAAGTCACGCTTGATGCCACGATGCGCCGCAGGGCTCGGATATCCAGAGCCTTGCCGCCGTGCGGTGAAGCAACAGGCCATCTTGCAAAAAAGTGCGCAAGAGTATCCCCAAGTGGCCTCAACTTACAAGCCATCTATCGCCCATTTCATAGACCTACCCACAAGCCAGGGTCAGGGCATCCAATTCAAACGCCTCGCAGAATCTTCTTAGAACCATAGAAATCCTCCTCGAGGTTTTACGGTCACAGTGACTCGCTGGCCGCCCTTCGGAAACGATCGGCCCCAAAAAGGTTGACATGCTGTGAGTGTCTTTTTCAACCCATCCAAAGAATGTCCCAAAATCGTGACATTATGCTCATGTTCATAGGTGCCCTTATGGAAAAAAATAGACGGCCCCGGCAAATGGAATAAAACCAATCTAAACCAGGGCTATCTAGTTCCAACCAAACTAAACTATAAAGGACACCTAATTACGCTCATGTTCTGGCGGGTGTTGCGCGCGTTTCGCAAAGCAACCTGGCTTTTGACTGATGCTTCAGCTAGAAATCACATCTGATCAGCAATGCTTGGAGGGTTGTGAACACCACTCTAGCTGCATGAACTGCAGGGGTTCTTATCAGAGACCTGCCTTTCTTTGCAATAAGATCTGGGGACAATGTGTGAATCACCCTGCTTGAAGCCTCGGGGCACCACGCTTAAAGCCTACAGCCTAGGATCTCAGCTCAAAGATCTCACAGATCTCTCTGCGCAACAGGATCTTCAGAAATTAAAGGCAGGATACTTCCCCAAGCCAAAGGAGGCGCCAACAGAAAACTGCTTTGACCTGTTGCACAAAAAAGGGCACCCAGCGGCTCCCATGAGGTTAGGGGCCCAAACTCCAAAGAGACAACCCGACTGCCGGCAAACTGCAAAATGGCGATCATGTGCCTCTTTAACAAATCTGGGGGCGTTCGCGCCGCCCCTGGCCCTTGCTCTCCTGATGCTGCTGAGATTAAACAACTAGCATGAAGTTGGCTGGCTCCAGCCTTCAAACCAGGAAAAATCAGCCAATCAGGCAACCATCGCACACAAACCTCTTTCTGCCCAACTTCTGAAACGGGTACATCTCGGCATTCCCTCAAATCGGTGGGTTTTGGACCCTGCCCCAAACACTGGCAGTCACCACAATTTGAAAGACTGTAGTGGTTGATCCAAAAAACATCCTCCATGTCTTAAACCCCCCCAAAACATGGTCAGCTTCATACTAGTTGTCCCTTTAAAAAGCTTTCCTCGAAAAACACACCCACACAAAAAAAGGCAGCTTCATGCTGGTGTCCCTTTCAAACGGTTTCCTCCAAAACACGAAGCCCTTTGGGGCCGCCCAATCCGTTGCCTTTTCGGTTTCCTTGCTCATCTCGCCTCCGGCAGCCTCCGGCGAGGAGGGCGTGGAGCCTCGGCGACGCTGGCGGCGAACCTGGCCCGAGGGTGGCTTCGCATCCATTTGCTTCTGCGCCCGGGCAAAAACCAAAATATTTCCAGTAGTGATAGATTCCCTCTAACTTCAACAGGGGAAAATATGTCCAGTACCAGGACCCCCCAATGGCTGGCAAATAGCCCCAAAACAGCCATTGGGAGGTCATTCCACAGGCAATTTGCCAGCCATGGGGGGGTGCTGGTAGTGATAGATTCCCTCTAACTTCAACAGGGGAAACAACAAATATTCATTTCAGAAAATGGAAATTATTATTGGCCCTTCGAGGGGAAGGCAACGTAACATGTGGGTCTGTCTTTTTTGAGGGTAGTACCCGTTTGGGGGATTGAGCTTTCACAGGCCTCTCAGAATGACGGCTAGCCCAAATCGGAGCTTAGGTATTTGGGTGAGTCTCTGTTTAAGGCTTGAACTCCCCAAAATGTTGGGATTTTCCCTTTGGCTTCCCTTTAAAGCCAACAAAACGGGGTTTTCCCCAAAACATGACGAGCCACCCATTTGCAGATGGTGAGATTAGTCAGGAATCGGTTGGCCTCCACGCATGGAGTTGCTCAACACCCTTGGAACATGAATTCGGTGTCTTGATAGCAACATCTCTAAAGGAATATGCTCACACTCGGGACTAGGCAAATGGTAAACCACCTTGCTGTTGCTCTTTCAAGTGCTCCCTAGCTTGACACAGCCACACACACATGCCTTTTAATTTTCAACTACGGTGCAAGTCGAGGCCAAGACCATTACTGCTCTTTGTCAGACGTCTGCGCAAATGCTTTTGCACACAGAACGAAAAACAAACAACAAGCAATATGGGCCTGAGCAAGGAGTTGCCTCTGTCCAGGTTTTGCCACCACTTGAATTTTCAAGTAGAAGCAACAGCATGATTTGTATGACCTCGTGACAGTGTCGCTGCTGTCCCCCTAAAAGCGACATCCTGGCACATCTGGTCAGCGCGTACCAACGCAAAGCCTGGTAGCTAGCACCCGCTCGCGCCTTCTGAGTCTTGCGAACCTTGGAGCAGTAGACATGACCTGGCCAATGTCCGCTCAATGGGCTCAGGAGGCTCAGAGTCTGTACTTTCAATCAACTGATGCTGACACGGGTCCAACAGACGAAGTGCCCTTCCCTTGACTCAGTGTGTTGTCCCTTCCACTGGATTCAATGAAGAACCCATCTCAAAAGATCTCAGGCGCTCAGCGCGCATTCAGCTCTACCTCTCGCAGCACTTCCGCCAATTTTGTTTTGCGAGCCACGCTTTTCGAGCTACGGGAGCCATCGGGAGACCATGCGCAAAACCAGGTTCTTGATACAGCGCTTGGGGTCGACAGCTTCGCAAGCGGGTCCCACCCTTTCAGTGGAACTTGCGACGCGGACAAACTTTGTATCCACGCTGGAGGTGCTCTGCTTCAGACCGGGGCGGTTTCACTTGACCCTGCCAAGCAAACATGTGCCACTGAACTTGTATCCCTTTTGAACATATACCATAACTACACAGATGCGCGGTCTGAAGCAAAGAGCCAGCATATACTCGGTAGCTGGAATCACAAGAATCTGTTGGAGGCACCAAAAGGTTAACCTATGACGTGGTCAAATTCGCCATGCGGAGAAAGGTGCTGATCATGTTCTTGCAATTTGTTCTGAAAGTGCTCGTTTTCAATTCAACTTCCTGTTCTGCAGCTCGGGCCCGGCCTCTTTGAGACCTTAGAATGAGGGGCCATCGAAGCTTCCCAACTTCTCCATGACCAACTTGCGTTTTCGAGCAACAGTCTCAGAGATCCATTAGTCCAGTCGATAATATCCGCTTTCGGGTTCGTAACCATACCCGTGCATCACCAGATATCTATCCTGGCACATGTCAGACCTCGTGTTTTCAATTGTGCTTTGTCGCCTCCAAATGACCGGGTTTTGTGCTGGACTCAGTCCTCCTTGCGCCGCCGGCAGCAGCGCCACCCGACTGCCTTAGCCTCCTCCCTGTCCGGGACGTCAGCAGGACAAGTTGGCGGCCTAAGGTGGTGTTGCTTCTACTTAAAGGGACAGGGTACTTAGTAAGTGGTTAGTAAGCCTGGTTTTAACCCACTTAGGATAATTATAACCATGGTAAGTGGGGTATAATCATGGTTATTACCCACGTACTAAGCACAATGCCCCTTTAAGCGGTGACTTGCATACTGTACTTTGGAAGGCAATGACTGTCCCGAAGCACTGACCAAACACTGAACAAACACTCACTTCTTGAACAACAGTATGTTTGCTTGTACAGCCACTAATCATTTTGCCAGGCAATGCAGTTTCTGGAAGCTTGCGACTTGAGGTATATGCACATTGATCTGTTGTGCGCCAGGTGAGAGCGATGCGTTGACATATCACGCATGTGGAAGTCGTGTTTGTTGTACAGAATGTCCTGTAGAGGGTGAAAGCTGTGCGGCTTTGTGGCACTCACGGGGCAAAGTAGCTGCAAGGCACTCTTTGCTGAAAACGAAGCATTCGACTGGGCGAGACCATCAGGCAGCTGCAGTCTTTCTCAACATGTAGCTTTGAACAAATCTCGTACATCTGTGCGAGCAGTTGATTTCAGGAAGACTGATTGGTCAACACATGGGACACCTGATCATGATTTCGAGTAATTTCTCTCACCCCCACTTTTAACCACTCATCAACAATCTGCCTTGGTTACGATGTATCATTTCATATCATATCAATCTACTGGTATCATGGTGCGGTATCAAGGGGACGTTGACAACTACACAGCATTAAACACCCAACCGTCGCACATCTTAACTCATTCTTCACCCAGCTTCGCCAGAAGGAATTGATGGGAGTCTTGGTGGTTCACTTCTTGAAGGTAATACCTTTCTCTGACATTGGGTTGAGACTGCTGATGCGTCGTGCCACTCTTCATTAATCGCAGATGCATATGTCTATAAGTCTGTGCAGGCACAACTTTCCTTCAGCCATGGCATTCATTCAGACTCATGCTCAACAGCCAAGCGAGCGTACAATTTTTTAGGGCATCCCTAAAAACGGTGGGTTTTCCTTTTTGTTCGCCTCAAACAATCAGACAGGCCCAAGTGCCATGCTGAAATTGATGGGTCCATGGTGTGTCATGCCTCCCATCGGAACCGCCGAGCAACTGTGTCTTCGGCTTGAAGGCGGGGCCGACTCGCTTCGCCTTCTTTTTCAGCTCCTCCACCTCGATCCTCGGCCAAACGGAAAAGCCACCAGCCACAAGCGGTTGGTGGACAAGAAATCTCCACCAGACTTCTGTTTTATGTCCACCATAGGTGACCTGTTTTGAAACCCAGGCACATTTACTTCAACATTTACTTGGATTCCTATGCGAGAGCCTCAAGCTTACTGCTAAGGACATCCCTGAAACCAATGGACGCCGAACACCCGGCTTACGATGGTCTTCAAGGGAAACCGAGTTTGAAACTAAAAAGCCGCTTCGTCTTTGGCGAAACGCCAAATGAAACACTATAAAACACCACGAGACACAATGAAAACACCCACCAAAAGCGCCTGGCCATTGATTCACGGCTTTGAGGATGGAAAGCCGTGAGAAGTTTCGGCTGACCGAGCGGCTCCCGCAGCATGGCCACAGCTGCAGGATTCTTGGGCTCCTTGCGCAACATGGCGACATGCATTACGCGTAGCGGACGTCTTGGGAACTGAAGAAAACACTTTTTAAGGGACACCCCATTTTGGTATTCGTTGAAAAGGGTTGTCCAAAAAAACGCAGACCCCGATCCTGCGCTAGGAACTCCTCCAGCACGCTGCGCGCCTCCCCCGGGCAGCGCAGCGCCCACACCGCCTTGGCCTTTCGCCAGAGCGCCTGCGGATCTCATGCACCCAAACGGGACCCAGTGATTTGCGTTTGGTTTCACAGCTTGCAAGAAGGGGCGCCCTATGAGAGAGACCTGGTCAAACTGACGGTCAAACTGGAGTGTTCAAGAGGGGAGGACCCCAAAAATTAATCAGTGTGATGCTCAGCTACTACGATTTGGGAAACCACTACAACCCGAGAAGCCACTACTAGTACTCAAGGACTTTTTGCACAACCCACTCAACAAATGGAAGATGCCATTTTTCTTGGGACCCGCTTTGTGACCCAAACTTCGATCTTACATTGGGACCAACTCTTTTTGAAGAAGGCTCACGTGTCACCTGTTGGTGGCCGATGCCTCCGCTCAACCTTGACATCATGGGCCTGTAAGGTCGGTGCCCGATGAACCAAAGGGTACATGCAATAACGCTTCTCCACACTTCTTCGATACCCCCAAACTGAAAAGGGGCAAATGCTTTTAACCCCCGTTGCTTGAACATCTTACTTAGGGTACCAAGCATGGTCCGGCGATTGGAGTCGCAACAAGGCGCCTTGGGGTTGCCCGGGTCGATCTCCAGCGCCGCCTCGCAGTGCAGATTCGCCTCTTCGAAGCACCGGAGCTGCAGCAAGGCCTGCGCCACGTTCAGCCGCAGCACCAGGTCCAGCTCCTGAGGTCCCAGGTGGTCCGAGCAAAGGTTCAGGAGCTTGGGGGGACAAACATAATCATAAATGGGGGAGGACAAACAACCCCAGGTTCATGGAAATTGCGAGGTTAGGGGGACAAACAGAACCCCACCATGGACCCCCTTCCGGGGAAACCCGAACTGGTGAGAGGGGGGAGTAACCTTGCTAGCCCCTTAACTTATCCTTGGCTCTCCCCCCCAAAGGTCTCCCTGCGATTTCATGACATGTCCAAGCAAAACCCGAGGAGGTTTGGGGAACAACTTGCTGGTGGGGGTGGGTCGAAAATGACCTTCCGGGTGTTGGGAATGAAACGGAAGGGGATTCCCTCAAAGGAAACCACAGGGGATGGTTTATAGGTGTCATTCCATTTCTCATTCCCTGCTGAGAACCAGCGATACAAACATAACCATGAGACAGTGCGGGAAGCCGCCCTTTTGATTGTGACTCGGCTGTCGATCAAAGGGAGCCAGCCGCTAATACGCCAAACCTGTGTGCACAGTCCCGATGCGCCAATGTGGCCAGTAAAGAATTTGTTGCATTCACACATACATATTATATATATATATAGGTAAACTACTAAAAGTTTGCATTGACCATACCCTTCCAACACCATGCCAAATGACGGATTATGTCATCGTTTACGCAATATGAGTGAATGCAGGGTGCCTGAATTGCCACCCAGACGTACAATGACATCCCTGGCACATGTCAATTGACAGTCCACGAACCCACGTGTGTCCAAACACACACTCAGATCCGTGAAGCAATGCGCAGTCAGGGCGCTTCAGCCTGGTACTTCTTTTTTACAGCTAAAGATTTGGCGAAGGACGGCTTGGCAACAACCTCACAATGTTCCATACGGTCAATACACCCAACAAGAACCAGGAAGTCCCAGAAGTTGTGAAAGGAGGACAGTCCAAAAGTTGAGAGACAATCCAGTTGAGGACAATACAGTTAAGGACAATCCAGTGGAGAAAGGGCAATCTTCCAAGCAAACCGAGGCTCATTCACCGCATCTTCCGAAGGCCCGACGTCACTCTCCGCGTGCGCGCGCAGATTCCGGAGCCGGTGGAGGGCGAGAATGCCCTGACCTGGCCGACACCCGACTCGTCAATACAGGTTTACTCAGCAGGAAGGAGCTGGAAAAGAAGGATATCCTTTTGGAGCCGCTAAGAATAGAGACATTTGAAACCCAAAAGGGTCAAAAGTCAAAACAACTGAGTTTAATATGGGTTTGTCTTCTAATGCTTGCGTCCTGAGTGGGATGTGTAGAGAAGTGCTTGGATGCCCAGAGTTACTGATGGAGCTAAACAATTCGCATGATCCCCAGCCAGGGATGGTCAACGTACTAACTCTAGACCATCATACATATGAATTTGAGTTGGCGTTGTTGTTCCACGATCACGGTGCAATTGAACTATGGATATGCTCGTTCCAGCAAACAAACAACCACCAAACCTTCCACGTACACATGTGGCATCACACGCACCGGCGCTGCATCTTGCTTGGACCCGTTGCTCCCTCTCCAAGGCCAAATGCCGGAAGAAAAAGGGCAAACGCCATTTCGAGGTCGAGTCGGTCACTTTTCGTGGGGGCCAACTGGGTTTAGAAGTTGATCATTTTCACAGTGGAAACAACTAGAACAACATGGCACAACACAAAACAAAAACACATCAAAGCAAACAACAAGAAACACAATAAATCACGCCCACATGCAACACACAAACACAAACAAAAACACAAAACAGGCAACAAAGATAAAACCCACACACACACACAACAAACTAAAAAGCAAACAACAGAAACCCAAACACCACTCTTCCGCAGCAAAATAGAACATGGAAACCAGTTTCTGGGGTGCCTAAAAATGGATCAAAACAGGGAAACCAAAACTTCAAAAAGGTCGATTTGCTTTGGGCAAGAGGAGTTTCTACGGCGCTGGTTGGGTGGGCATTGGTGACCTAAACTGGAAGGATCGATGGGCTTCCCTGGTAAATGGTCAATCTAAACGAGTGGAGCCCATCTATTGCGAACCAAACTCAAAAGGCCATCTCTGGTTCCAACCTGGGCATGGGTCAAAATGCAACCACCAGGATATGGACTGAAGGTGTTTCTCCTTTCCAGTTACCGGGCTTCCATTTTCTCCCTCCCACCAATTAACACGGAACCTGACGTTCGGGGGTCCCTTCAAAAAGAAAACGGTCCACTTCCGGACCCCCACGAACGTCAGACTCCATGTTAATTGGTGGGAGGCTACCTATTCTTGATCCAATTCAACCACCAGGATATGGACTGCAGGATTTTCTCCTTTCCAGTTACCAGGCTCCCATTTTGGGAATCCACAGCCACGGACACTGGGCGGCCCCCCTGAGGCCCCTGAGGCCCTAAGGCCCGGGCCCCAGGCGTCGAGGGCCTCCTGGGCCGCCACCACCGAGGAGTTGTCGAAGGCGCCGAGGCCCGACTGCCGCAGCGCCGCCGCCGCGCGGTACGCCGCCTGCAGATCCTCCGAACCGAGCCGGTTCGACACGCTGACCGGTTGACCGCTCCGCGAGCGGAAGTATGCGGAAGTCGGGGGGGAGGCAAAATGCAGAAGACGCATTACTCACATGTGCCAAGATTGACATATTGAATATTCATAAATGTACTTCTCTCCCTGTCTCTGTAATTAGCGGATATCTTCACATTCGTGGTTTGGGCGGCCAATCCTTGGAAGGTTGTCGTTTCCTTTTGGGGATCCCCAGACTAACCAAGTGCGGATCGCCATTTCTCAATGGGATTTCCACAATATACACGGGAACTTCCGCAGTACTGACACTAATTGAGCTAGCCCTCTCTAAGAAAGCTTACAGCTGCGCGTGATCTGTTAGCCTAGATGCACTGCGCTGAAAAGCAAAGGAAAAGCTGAAAACGCGAGAGCTGACGAACAGAAGCGGGCCGAAAACGTGGCCCCGTGCGTGAATTCGGCCATTGTGTATGTGCGCAAACCCCCTCTGTCGCGACGGAGACGGGCCCATTGGCACAGCCGCGCGCTCTGTTTCGCAACCTTCAAAAAGCGTCAACAACTATGTGTGTGTGTGTGATGTTCATTTCGCTCGGGTGACCCTCTGCGCACTTTGGTCCGGTCGACCTTGACCAACTTGTGGTTTGCTCCGAGCTTCACTTCGCTCTGGGGAGTAGAAGCGGGTCAATCGTGTGGCCCTGTGCGTCAATGCGGGTCTGCCTCGTATGCGCGAACCTCGGTCACGACGTGTGGGCAAACGTCGTCTCAGAGCGGTCGGGAAGCGCGGTCGCAGGTTTCGCAACCTTCAAAGAGGGAACCCTCTGCGCACTTTGGGTGGTGCGACCCTCGAAAACGTGTTTCTTTACGATTCACAAACTCACTTTGAGCGGGCCGACCTTGAACAACTTGTGGTTTGTTAAGTTTTTTAGCTTCCGCAACCATCAGAAGGTGAATCCTCTGCAGACTTTTGGTGGGTCGACCCGATGTGGCTTTCTGCGTTTGGTAGCCTTTGTGGGCTGGAGAGAGTGAGAGAGAAAGAGAGCGAGAGAGAGCGAAACAAAAAAAGAAGAGAAAGAGAACCCAAGAGAACGAGAACGAGCCGGAGAAAGCGAGAGAGCGAGCGAGAACCAGAACGAGAAACTGAGAGAGCAAGAGCAAGATAACAAGACACAGAAAAAAAAAAACAAAAAACAAGAGACAGAGGAGAAGAGAAAGAGAAAGGAAAGGAGGTGGCTAAAAATCAAGACAAGGAGAAGGTAAAAGAAGCGTGCTCCCTTTAGTTCTTACATTTATTGAAATGTCCCGCACCGGCACAAGGTGCCCTGTGACAACCGAATCACACTGTCACACTACCTGATTCAGTATGACACCAACGTCAAACTGCGTGTCTTACCTACCTATCGCTGAGGCACGTTCTCGCCCTCGAGCCGCTCGATCTTGGGGAACTTGGTGCCGTGCTGTGGGCGAAACTCGTAGCCGCCGGCGGGGAAATGTCTGATGCCCAAAAACCTCAGAGGGCCGAGTTCAACTGGTGCCTGTGGATTCGTTGGGCAGCTTTCAGTCGAAGCTCGCGCAAAAGAGCATGGAGAAGCTGTGCAAATCAGCGAAAGCATAAGCAGTACTAGGAAAGCAACCCACATGCCAGCTTGCCCCAAAAAGACTTTGATCTGTTCAAATTCAGGTGGCAAACCTCTTGCTCTTGCCTTTCAAGACAACTGCTAGGCTGGTAGGTTCAGAAACGTCTGTACCGCAAGGAACGAGTTGGCAGCGGGAACTGCCAGTTGCCTTAAAATGCATCTCCTGGTGTCGACTTAAGCAGTGAGCAAAGACTTCATGAGTCATGATTTGTGCAGGGTCCTGTTGTTCATAGATCAATGCAATTTGACACAGGAAGTGCAAGGTCCATTGTCGGCTGTCTGTGAGCTTTGGGCGCATGCCGAGCATGCGTCAAACGATGTCATACCGCAATAAAATGGGACTCAGTCACGGTTCACAGCGACGAAGACCGATTGCCACTGCCCTACTTGGACGACGATCTGTCCCAACCAGAAAGCGATTAGCAGCCCTGTGAACCTAGTTCGAGCCACTGTGCTTGGAACTGCTCCATGCTTTCCTAGTGGGCCTCGTCGGACTGAGCACGGCGCGGGTTCTTTGGCGCTTGAAGGTTGGTTCTCCCCGTTCGAGGAGCTTGCACACTACCTCCCGACTGGAATGGCAAGAAAGACAAAGGGAACGCAGTATGCAGAGTGATGTTCTTTCAAGAACAAAACAAACCAACTCGGAATCTCATTGCAGCTTCACGCCAAGGCCGACAATGGGCATCCATTGCAGCAATCGCCTCGCCTACCACCGGCGAAGCTGCGGAGGTCTTGGCAGGTGCCTAGCAGAAGGACGGGAGATGTGAGAACATCGAGGCAAGCTGCAGACGTTCACCCTTGCCAGCATTTCAGGAAGTGTGTCGCAGTTCCCACACTGAGGGATTGTTTTGCATCTTTCCTTTGGGATAACAGCACTAGTACAAGGATTACCAACAAATTCCGTGACTATCGACATACGGAGTTGGACCAAAGCACAAAAGTAATTAGGCCAGGATTGGCGAAGGGATTGCTCGCCTGCTTGACCTTCATGGATCAAGTTGGGGTGTATGTCTGATTTTGTACTAAAGATCAGGGTTCGCTTTGGAATCTGACAATTCTTCGGTATTGGGATTTTGGCAGAGTGAAGCTGGACACTTTGGGAGATGTCAGGAGTCTCACTTGTATGCCACCTTTACTTTAAGGGTCAACTCGATGGTAGGAGCCGAAGATGCGGCCGCGAAAACATATGTTGCAAGTTGCAAGTGAAAAGGGACTCCCCAAGCCACCCTGTGATCTGAGAATCTGGGTCTGCGTGTATGGACGATTGTGTTGGCTGGAAGCCAACTTCTCAGATGCCCAGTGGCCAAGGGAAACAAAAGGGCATCCTTTTTTAGTCGGTTGGGTTTTTCTTGGGGAACCCTTCCCAAAAAAGAAGGTTGAAAGCACTGGGCAAGTGGGATTTTCCGGGGGTCTGGGAAGATCCTGAAGGTCAAGTCCTGGCAAAGAAAAAAAGCAGCAGCAGCCCTGTCCAGGCCTGCGGAGTCTCGCCTGGCACCGCATCATATGCAGAGGTGTGCAAGGATCAATGGGCTTCTGTAAGGCTGACGTCACCGAGAGCAAAGAGAGGCTCTGCAAAAGAAACACGAAACCCATCCATTGCACAAAACAGAACTGCTGGGTCAGGTGAAGAGCCAACACACACGACTGCTGTACTGCTGCTGTCGCCCAAGAGAATCGGTGCAAGCGCCAAAGCAGGTTTGATGCGACATGCCACGCAAGACTTTGGTTGCCTTCCTGGTGGCCACAACTTAAAAGGCAAAGCCGTGGTACAAGCCCTGCCTCTGGGCTCATCGAGAGGCTTCGCCTGAATACGCGAGTGAACTTGGAGATCGGCGACTCCAGGCAAGTTGGGAGCTCCCGTCACTTCAAACCCCGAGAGCACACAAGTACATTTCTAGCTACTCATCCCCTGATTTAGCCCATAGCATCTGGTGTGTCAAAACAGGCAACCCCCACGCTCATTGTCTTCCTGTTGCTTTGTTTCGAAAACAACCTACAGGACCCCAAACTCATCGTCTTCCTTCTGCTTTGCTTCAAAAACAAACTGAACAAAAAAAAACGGGCGCCCTCAAAGAGACAGATTCCTAGTCACTTCGAAGCGGAGCCCGTCTCTGGACGTCACCCCCACACCGCCCATCGCGCGCCTGGGCATCGCCTGCGCCTGCAAGCGCTTGGTTTGGCACGGAGCGGAAAGAAGCCCCTCTTGGTGGCTTCGGGAGAAACTTGTTCTTTTTTTTTTTTGGGGGGGGGACGGAACACACACATTGTTGGTGGCTTTGAAAAGGGAAACCAGAACAGTTAATATTTAAGAGGTCCCAACTTGAGTTGACAAACCTACATTTCTGAGTTTCAGTTGCACCAAGGGTTCCTGTGGAAGTGTCATTGAAGCAGTTGCCCCATGAAATACTCACTTGGCTTCAGTAGAGTCTCTAAACAGTTAGCCCGTAACTCACATGGAAACACTTTGGGTCAAGATGACAAGACTCAAAGCAAGTGGAAATCTTGGCGCATGCCTCATACACTATGGAACACAGGCTCCGAGGTGTAGTGCTGCTTTCTCAGTCACTGAGAACAAGAGCGCAGCTCAGCCAGCTCGTCAAAAGTGTTCGGCTTCTGATGCATCTGAAATGAATAACGCCCTTGATACTCACTTCCGAACGAGTGGATTGGCCAAAAAAGCCTGAACTTGCTATTTGCCACTAAGAACGGTCTTCCGAACATTGTGCAAGGCTTGCGAGAGAAGCAGTTGGGGCCAAGCTTTCACCTGGGCTGTCCCCAGATCTCAAAGTTTATTTTGTGGGTTGAATGGACTCTACCACAAAGCCAACTAAAATCCTAAAAAGAGGAACCGGACGATTCGCTGGGAAGCACCACAAGTGATCCACCACTCCAGCTATGAGAGGCTGATCCGCTCCGTCTGGTGCTCCCTGCCTTCTGCATGTCCTTCTCCGTCGAACTGCTGGACCTCACATGTGTCTCTGTGTGTCAAAGGGGACCCCAGATGATATTGTCGTCCTGGTTTCAAGCCAAGCTTAGAGAGGATTCCCGGCAAAAAAGAATCCAAAAACAAGGTGGATAATCCAACGTGACTTGTTTGGAACACAGGTGCATTCACTCATTGAATGCCGTTCCTAGCGTAGACCTTGCGGATTCAGCCCCGGCTATGGTCTCAACACTTGGCCGTTGCAAACACCATGCAGCTGCATCCGTGTCTTCCTCTACGCAACACATGCTGGAGGAGACAGAAGCCGGCAATTCAGGCGAGGCATCCAATCGCATGCCCAAATTTCTTGGCAGGCAATCCGAGTTGTGTCAAAAGCCTAAAAAAACCTTCACAGCCAGCCATTGCGAACATCCTAGCAGTATCATATCTGATTGAAATGTGTTTCTGATGCTACACATAAATGCCGAATATGCACCAAACAATGGATGGACGCGTATGAAGTGGCGTCGATCAATCAGTTCAAATTGTCCGGGTCTTGACAAATGTTTGACTTGCGCACAAGAGGCTTTGGAGTTGCTATGCCAACTCGGCAGTTTCAACATAGAGAAATGAGCAGTGATTACCAGTCAAGCAAATGCTGAAATCGTGCACTGCTATGGCTTCACAAATCTACTCTATTTGGAAGGGTGTTTGGAATGGATGATCACAAACATGTGTGAACAGGCATCAGTATATCGCCTCTTTGTGGAACTTTGCAAATCCAGTCGCCTTGTCCGCATCCCAATCCTTCGCGGTGGCACAGCTCGCTGACCCCCCTTATTTCCATGGGGCTCGCGCTCCGCGCCTTCAAAAAATGAGACTCGCCCGCTTCTCGGGCCCCAGACCTCCTCTGCAATGAGGCTCGCCCAGTCAGCCATGGCAAAGCTGAATTCATCGGCGCACGTCGGCGTTTCTTGGTGTTTGGTCCGTCTTCCTGCTGCTTCGTCTCTACTTGTTGACCATGATTTCTCCGTCTTCCTGCTGCTTTGTCTCTACTTGTTGACCATGATTTCTCCGTCTTCCTGCTGCTTTGTCTCTACTTGTTGACCATGACACCAATCGAGTTCTCTCATCAGTTCATCCACTTACGAATCACAAACTGCTTTGTGGCAGAAACAAGTGAAGGAGGCCCCATGGAGTAAGCAGTCTTCGAACATTCTCGGCTCTATTGGCCACTCCTTGAGCACCGGGCAGTGCTGCAGCATTGAGTAAATGCCGCTGGGCTGTGGCCGTGTCTTCAAGGGAATGGCACAACTCACGACAACCTCTTCCCTACATTTACGGGCACGGCCAAGGAACATCATCGAGCTGAGGTTGACTCGGATGCACTGGCCATGAATTGTGTGTGTGTGTGCAATGCTTGGGAGCACCATCATGCCGTTCCTTGGAAGTGATCACTGTTGCCCTGAGGATTCTTGCCAACTGCTAGTGCTTCAAGCGAAGGGCTTGGAATGAGGTTGTGTTGAACAAAGATGCAGGAAGCCGACCGAATGTGCTGCAGAAAGGTCAACCTGCGACTGCTTCGTAGCGCCCACAAAACAAAACAGTGAGCGGACCAATGCCCGATGTTGAAGAACTCAGAAGCTGTTCGACGGACCCTGTTTCCGTGCAGTTCGAGCCCATCGCGAACAAGTCGTGTAGAGGTCATCAGCCAACCCAAGGTACCGGGTCAAAGCGGTGTGATGGCCAAATCGGTTTCAGTAGATATCTATGGCCTGCACAGCAGCAAGTATTATAGTAAGATCGATTCATCTCGTTAAAGATCCATGTGCAGTAAAGGAGTATTTTGCATAAGAACCAACAAACAGCGATCTTTTGCCAAACATCAGGAATACATTCCGCTCAAAGGTCAGACTAAAGGGCTCCACACGGTGCCACGCCCCCGCCCCCCCTCCACCCCCCCCCCCCTGGTCGTCTTGCCTCTCCTGGAGCTCGCCATGATGCACACCTGCACAAAGGAACCGGATTTCGCGGAGGCGTTCAAAGCTTCATGCCAAAGGCTTAGACAGATTAGACTCATACCAGCTGGCGGCATTCTGATTCTTTGATCGGGCCCTTAAGCTTCAATTGAATTTGCAGTCTTTAAACATATTATGAGTATGGGCCAAATTGAACCACCAAACACCCGCAGGTGTTAGTCCATGTTTCCACTTACCAGGGTTCAACCCACATATCATGTTGACCCCATAGACAAATCGACCAATTCCAGCTCGAATTCATAGGGGGGGCTGGATTTTTGGCCCCTCCAAAAGTGGTCTGATTCCCCACATTTCACCCAGGGACACCCCCCATGAATAAACTGGGGTTGATTAATCTGGGGTGAACACTACGTCCAGAGCACGAAAACCAGTCACACTCCCGAGAGCGAGCTTTTCCTTCAGCTTCCTCGAAAGCCGCCCGCCTCAACGTGCGCGGCAACTTGTTTTGGACTGAGTTCGAGTGCTGGGCGCTGAGCCAAAGGCGGCGGAGAGCCGTGACGCTGAAAAACATGGCCCTGACTTTGTTCAAGGGCACCCCTTTTGGTGGAGCTACCAAAAAAAGGCTTTTTTGGGGGGCGTCGCCCCAGAAAAAGACACGTTTGGTGGAACCACCAACAAAACACACACGCCCTTTTGGGGGCGTCGCCCAGAAAAAGACACACCCACAGGTCGTCAGAAGCTTCAAAGGAAGTCCATAGTCATTCCGCCAGCACAATGAGAACTGCACCAATCAACTTTCTTTCGGGTGCCGATTGCAACATGAACTCCTTCCCAAAAACAAGACAAGGCAGCGGACATCTTCTTGTCACTCTGTTTGAGCATGCCGGGTAGATTCCTGAACATCCAGGATAGCATTGGGAATTTGTGATAGATAGGATATACCCATCAAAGAATCTGGGATCCACCTCACAGGCCATCCATCGTGCTTTCCTTGACAGGTGATAGGATTTTGATGACACGTCTTCACTCTCCCTCATTCCTTCTCTCTATCATTGACGGAGAAAAACCCAAAGGAATCCTGGAAATCAAGGGAAACGTCGTAAGTTGTCTTTATGATATGTCTGATAGACGAGAGGAGGGACATACCAACAGGATTGCTCCCTTGTAACGACCAATTACCAGGATTATATGATGGAGTGGGAACACATCTGTTGGTCATCAACCTCTATAGATCCTGACGAAGAAACCAACCGATGGAACGGTCACAATGATGAATCAATAACTAGGAACTTTGTGGCTTGGAAGAGCTCCTGGCAAACGGGCTTGCAGATTCGTCACCAGCACGGCAAACACCAGATTCTTGATGCGTCGGTAACTTTGACAGCCCAAGTAGTCTTCCTTGCTTGGATCCGGGCTCTTACCAACACACACGTCCCGTGGCCCTGTTCCATGTTTGCCGAACGAGGTTGCAAGCCTGTTCCAGTACTTCAAACAGTCATTTGGATGTTGAGGACAACAACTGCAGTTGTTGTGCACAATCCAATATTCATTCACGTACAGATTTACATAACCACGCACAAACACACATAACATGCACATATGTATATATATATATATATATGTGTATATAAGACGTTTCTTCACAAATATTCTTACACACAAGACACACACACACACACAAGCGCCAACAAGTTGATGAGCTTACGCCCAGGCCATCTGGCATGCGCAGCATCAAACCGCTTCCCCTTGCCCCTCGTACCTGCACCGGAGGCGGCCCAATGTTGCCATCTGGCCAACGCATCGGCACGTGATCTCTCTGGCTCCCTCGTTCAGAGAATGGGATGCCCAAAAGAAAACAACTCTGCATCATGGTGAGGTTGCTTCAAATCCTTCAGCTCTGAATTCGGAAGTGGAACAGACCAGCTGCTGCCTCTCAATTAAAGTGCTACTATTGTTGAGCACGTGGAACAATGTCATCCATTGAACTTGCAGGCAACTGCTCGACTAGTTGATAGTGTGACAGCCAACAATTCCCCCACCACACAGTATGTTTGGACAATGTCCGGCGATGGCGCCAAAAAACATGGACATCAACAATCACTAGTTCAATATTATATATATATATATAAGTATACATACATATATATGTATATATATATAATTATATATATATATGTATAATACATATACACAATACATGTGTGTGTGACATACACACATATTCCTGGGCTTACAGCCTACCCCACGTTCCAGCACCCCCGATTTGACCTCCGACTTCTTCGGGGTATCCCCGTCACCTCCCCTGAAAAAGCCGACCCGACCTGCGCGGGCGAGGTGCGGCTGCGGCATGGCCACGATCCACAGGGCCCCGCCAGCGCCGGCGGTCTGAGACATCGGTGCCAAGCCGTCCGTGCCGTTGGGCCCTCGAAATGATCTCTCGATTGCTTCTGCTCCCCTGCTAAAACCTTAACTTTTAGTGGTTTCATGGAAAACCCATTAGTTGGCAAAAGGTTAAAGTCCTAACATCCAAGAAAAATGCACCAAATACTTTTCTTCGGCTTCCTCCCAAAAATAACCCCAAAAGCGGCGTTCCTTTAGCTTCCCCCAAGAAAACAAGACCCAACAAGCGAGCCCAAAAATAAGACACCCGCTTGTGTCCTCCAGTTGGGTGCAAATTCGAGGAATAAGCATGTGCACATTCGTTGAGTGGAGTCTCCCAGCTGAGTCACCCTGCAATGGCTCAACTCTCAATTCCCCAGCGCGATCGCCTAAAGTTTTAAGCCCGAAAAAAAGCATTTTGCGGCCGTCGGTCTGTCTGAGTTCCAGGTGTGGTTCTTTTTTGAGGGAACCGAAAAAATCTGTGGCTTCCCTTGGGTTCCCTGTAAAAAATCACTTCAAAAAAAAGGGGGGCACCCTCAAATCTGGGCTGTCCTCATATCCCCTGCAAAAAAGCTGAGCTTGTGCGTTAAATTCGGAAACCCAACCACTCAACCAACTAAAACCAGCAAAAAATAAGGAACTGGATGGCTGCTTGAACCACCAACCAAAAACCAACCACCCTGGAGCCGCCGAACCGACTTTCGGCCTGGCCCAGGGGGGTCGCTTGGCCGGGAGCCATGGTGGACAGGATCAGCGCATGGCAGCCGGGCCGCACCTCGCGAAGACAGATGAACCGGGGGAAGTGGCTGGGATGCCGCAGGCGACCTGCAGTGTGTCTAAATTTGCAAGCGTTTGAGAAGCAGCAGGCAGAGTTGATGGCTGGGCCAATGCAGGGTGGGGGAGGGGGGCCGCAGTGTATGTGTCAGGGTTTAGAAAGGACCTTTATCTAGGAAAACAAACAACATTGGTGGCTTGGAAGAATCTCTATGGCTTTCCCTGGTTTGTATGGGGCATAAAACCCATCTCAACCAGTGTAACCCATTCATTTCTGGGCAAACTCGCCGATCGAAAGGATACCTACATCCGACCGCCCACAAGAGTTCTTCAGAATCACGTCAAAGGAGATGGAACCCCATGGGTTGGGGTCGTTTTTTGGTTTCCTCCAGTTGTTTTAGACTGGAAAAAGACATATGTCCAGTAGTGATGAATTTTCCTGTCGAAACCACCAGGCCAAAAGCAAAACATATTCTTAAGCGAATGAACGCTTTGTAAAATTAGTTGAAACAGTTTATTGTTTCCTAAAGATGCGCGAACAGGAGCACAATTTGTGCAGCAACTCTCAACTAGCCCAACCAATCTCTACACATTGCGGCTTCATGCTCTGTGAAATTTGCTTCCCACGTTGCAACTGGGGAATCAATCCTGCCACTTACTCGGGCGCTTCCGACTTCAGGCATCAAGTTGGCCTGGAAGTTGGATTGGTGCAAGTGACGCTTTCAGCAGCCCTCATGAAATAGCTGGCAAAGGACACAAGCTGAATCAAACCATTCTTTTGTTTCGGCCCCTTTGAGGACTGCAGTTTTGGATTCCCGCCGGCCATGTCATGAAGCTGACATTTGGCAAAAACCTGAACAACAAACACACGCACATTCGAATGCAAGCGCATTGGCTTAGTGCTGTCACCGCAAAAATTGGCTTCACTCCACCAAGTAAATTGGAGGACCGGGTCCCCCGGTGTCCAACGGCCCGCTGAGTTCTGGCTGAACGCATGGCCCGAAATGCAAAATGCGCCCCGCTACACGAACTGCGTTAAACTGCAGAAGCCTAGGACCTGGTGATACGAAAGGTTGGTAAATGGAATCAACTGGCTGGTGCGATAGGTAGGGAACGACCCAAACCGGGTTCCTGTGAATGAACCGTTTGGGGATTCCCGAATGAAGGAAACCCTCGGGATTGTTTATAGGGGTCCTTGCAACTTATTTTCCAAACCACTTTCCGCCAAGTTTCATCAATCTGGAAAATGGATCTACATCAAATCAAATCCGTTCATTTTCCGAGTATCTTCCTCGGTGATCAGAGCCAAAGTGAAAGTAGAATCAACCCATTTGAACCAAACCCTGGCCGCCTCTTGCTTCTTGCTTTCGGGTCAACAAGACTTCCTAAAAGGGGCTTCCTGGGTTAGCCCAAGTTACCACCAAATGTGTTACCAAACTGTTAAACTGAATTCATCAGCAAATTTAGAGCCAACTTGTTTGATCAATTATTACCAAATTGGTTTATCCAAGCATCACAACCAAATCTATATAACCATTGGTCGAATTCACCCAGACATTTTTGCCATGTGAAACACATATTAACCAACTTATCAACCAAGTTCAGTGGCCCTTTTTTCCTTCCCCCGTTTACCAAACCTCTCACTGGCCAAACCTCTCCGCGCCCAAACCCAGCGGAGCGAGCCGCCCGCGCAGACCGCCGCGCCTCGGGGCTCATGGCCAGCGCGGTGCAGCAGGCGCCGCGGCCCCGCGGCGCCCAGCGGTACGCCGGCGCCGTGGCCTCGAGGCGACGTCGAAGCCGGCGGAGTCGCGCGAAGGCGAAGGCGGGCGCCGGAAGGCGTGGAGTGGTCGGCGCAAAATCAAACCAACTATTTCTGGAGGCGCAGAAGAGCTCCTCTTCGAAGTGGATTGGTTCTGAGTTGGATTGGGCCAAAAAGAGGAACCAAACCAACCATGAAACCAAACCAAAAAGGAGTGGATGGTTGGGCCAAAGGAGTGGATTGTGGCATTCATCACATGGATGGCGGCCAAGGATTTTTGTATCTCCAAAGTGGGTGGGACAAGAATGTGGCCAAACCTAAACTAACTCCACACTTTTTTTGTCACGTCCGAAGTGGATGGTTGCCAAAACTTGCGATCGGTGTGGGAGACGCAGGGAATGAGACGTGGAATGACTCTCGTGGTTGGCCAAAAAGCGGATGGTGGCCGAAAAAAGTAACTCCAAACTTCTCGGTTTTCAAAAATCCTACCTCGAAAAATAACTCCACACTTGTTGGTGGCCAACATGGCCCAAACTCAAAAGTAGGGTGGTTTGCACCTCGTCTTTGCAGCCCAATTGGTGGCTTGGACAGGGGTCATTGGATTTACTCAAAAGTTGCGAAGTACTGTGGGGCTCCAACAAAGTTGCAACTTTTGGAGGTCCAAAAAAGGGGCACTGAGGCACCCCGGCTGGAGCGCACTGGTTTAGTCGGCTTGGTTTCCCGCTTGCCCACAAGAAGCAAGGGCTCAAATCCGAAGCAATCCAAGCCACCAGGGCACTGATCTTTTGTGGGGTTGTTGTCCTTTCACTTTTGTTCAAGGGTTGCTTTCCTTTCACCTGGTTGTTCCAATGCCCGTTTCGCCTTGCGTTGTAAAGGGCCCTTTCTTTTGAAGGGCTATCTTGGTTTGTTCGAAGGGTATCCTTTTCGCCTTGGTTTCAAGCGAAACCCGCACCCCCCCACCCCCCCCATCCCCATCCCCATTCCCACTCCCATCCCCATCCCCACCCCCACCGCACACACACACACACACATGCAGGAGGTCAGTGCAGAACATGAGCAAGCTTTGCATGTTTGCCAAAGCTGGATTTTTTCCGTTCTCATGGTTTAAATCTGCTCTTGCCTGTAGACAATGGCCGCTTGCTGGCAGGCTTCTTGCATCTTCCTCTGATCCAGATCCTCCCTTTCCTCTGCCCAGGTGTGCATCCTTTCCGGGTGACAGCCAACTGAGAGAGGTTCCCTCTGAAACTCCGGAAATTCGGTAATTAAGATCGCGGCTCTCACTTGCGTGGCTTGCCCAGAAAAAGTAACCAAACTTTTTGTTTAACACTAAAATGGTCCAAACCCAAAGAGTGACTGAAGTCCGAGCCCGGAACTCGGGAGTGAGGTGACTTCATTTCAATTTTCCGTTGAGGTCCCAGGCAGCAGCGGCCAATTCCAGATTCTCTGGAAAGTGCCAGACCTGCCGTCTGGCGTCTGCGGCCGCGGGGTTTGTTTGGTAATAGTTGGACAAGCTGGGTGTGTCTTTTCTTGAGGGACCCTGTTTTGGGACTGATTTAAAGGGAACCCAAAAGGAAACCACTCATATTTTGGGGGTACCCCTGTTTTGAGACAAACTCAGCTGGCTATTCCTTGCACAACTTGAGCAAACCCTGATGCTAAAGTTGTTTGTTCGGGTGCCAATCCGCAGCTTCCCTTTTCGGGCAACAAAGCACGGGTTCGGTGTCTACCGAATCGGACCGAGAAATGTCACTGGCATCCCAGTTCTCCTGAGAAAGTGAGACGCGTTTGGGATGAACCGCTTGCAGGGCAGCCAGTGGCCAAGGTTCGGCCGCCCTATGTGAACACTCTGTCAAACAACCTCCCTTTTTGCCTTTCAAGGGGAGGGGTTGGTTGCTCAAACACATATTGCACCAGCCCAATCGGACGAATCGGTGTCGTGAGGCCATGCCCATCATCTCCCACAGACATCGGCTTTGCTTCTAAGAGCTACTTGGCCCAAGTTTAGGGGAACGAGACAGGAACAAGCTTGGAACATGGAATGTGCTGGATGTTCGGATTATTCCAAGTGAACCAGTCTATTTCTCATGGTCAACGGATACTCCTCTTCAAGCTACTTTCCTTTGCGCCCTGCCCAAGCCAACATTTCTTCTTGAGAATCCGGCCTCCACGTCGCCATCTTCCCTCGCGCAGGCCAGCAGCCTCAGTCGAAAGGGCACGCTACGTGTGCTATGGTCAATGAGTCATAGATCTGAAGGGAACGGAACCATCATCATGGGCGAGGTTGCAGACTAATACCTTTATGATTTCGCTACGATTATGGGATGGGGTTGGTCATGGTGCCCGAAGGAAGCCTGCCAAGAGTTGTCTAGGCCCTTGTTCAAAAGAAAGCCAACCTGCTCAACAGCGTACATGCGAAAGCAATTGGGGTTGGTCACGGCACATCGGGGAAAATTTGTGTTGAACGCTAGGCAAGAAGTCGCGACATACATGCCACCGTGACCATAGGTGCCCTTATGGGAAAATAGATGGCCCTGGTAAATGGGGCATAAAACCAATCTAAACCAGGGCCATCTGTTTCGAACCAAACCAACCGATCAAACGGACACCTACTGTGACGCAGACCCATGCCAAGCAGAAGAAACCTCTGAGCCAAGTGAACGGGATGACTTCTGTGGTCACAAAGGGTTCCTGCGCGTGGAAGTTGTGGGAGAGTCTGTGAGATGCTCCCCTCTGCCACAGCGACCGTCCTTTGAAGGGACCCGGAATCCCTATGACAGGGGACCAATACGTGCTGGCAAGACCTCACGTCATGCTCATGTAGCACATAATTTGGCTCACGTTCCGAGGGTTCAGATCCAATCTATGACATAAGTTGCACACCAGTACTAGCTTTGCACGCCTTGGTTGCGTTGTTGCTTTGCCGGAGACCTGAGCATCAACCCTTCACGTCTTGATAGCCCTGGCTCATGCAACATACCTCAAACATGCTTTGCTACATGTAAGACACAAAACAAACCTGAAGATATCAATTTGGGGACTTGCAATACCAAGTCTGAAGTCATCACATTGCAGTGCCTTGACACCAGCGTCCCTCTGGGTGCGCGGGCTGTGGATACGCGTGGCTCCACTGCAAGCTGGCGATGGTCGAGGACGACGAGGATTTCACCACCCGCGGGGTTGCCTGCGCGGGGCCATGCCGTTGGATCCTCTTGCGTTCGGTGCGAGAGATGCAGGGAATGAGAAATAGAAAGACCCCAATTCAAACCATCCAACTGTTGGTTTCCTTTAAGGGAATCCCTGTGGTCATTCCCTCATTCACTAACCACCAGTAAGTCCTTGGATCCGCGCTGGTTACATTCACCTCGTTTCCTGCAAATATCCCAAGGACTCCAATGCTATGGCTGGTTCCCCAGCTAGATTTGTCCCAACTGTAGATGAAACACCATTAGCAATCGTCTCGAAATTTCGCTAGGTCACGCGGCTGCCAGCATTTGCCATCTCTTTAGATTGCCTTCATCTTTAAGAGTACAGGATCCACCCAGCAGAGGTGAGTGTCTGGTCTCGCTCCAAACTCAAAAGCAAAGCGTGTCACCAAACGCTTTCTTGAAGATGCAAAGCAAGAGCAACTATACCAAAAACTGAAACACACATGGGTGTGTCGCTTTTTTAGGGTACTCCATTTTTTTCTGGTTTCAACGAACAACTAAAGGCAAACCACAAATTTGGGGGGTGGGTCCGTAAAATAGACACCCCCAAATCTAGCTCTTTGGCCCCAAGCATGCCACACATTTGTCCACTTGAAGTTGTGGCCGGCAAATACCAATCGTATCTGCGGACAGTGCAAGTTCCGCCTAATGAGGAGCAGCTTTCCAGATCTCCCGCCAAAAAACCATACCACCTCGACTTCAGCCATAGGGGACACTTTTAAAACCAACATCAATTGAACCCATTGCATGCCAAAGCAATACTCTCCAACATAAAACCACTACTCTCCATTTTGGAACCAATTCGGACATTGCCATGTTGGGAACAATGCTTGGGCCCGGAAAGGGACCTGGTTTGGACGAGGACCGTAGCGGATCCTCCCTACCCCAGGGCACCCAATGGATAAAGCTTGGTTTTGGTCCGCAGGCGAATATTCTTGTTGGGAGGGGCCGGGCTACAAAAAACGCAGAAGGCCCCCAGTCAGGGGACTAAAAGCGGTCAGACTTTACGAGCAGGATGAAGCAAAGGAGCCGGGATTTGACTTCTCCGGCCGGGCATTGGCCTCAAAACGGTTGTCCAAATCTGGAACGGCGCATGCCCCAGGCCTGAACCCATGCGCAAAACAGAACGAGGGCCAACAATAAGGCCAAAGCGTCGAAACGGGAACCTCCATCAGGAATCATACGCCGAATTCACTGAATGTCGACATTCACGCTTCAGATCCGGTTGCGAAGGATGAGTGGTCCAATATTATTGGTTGTACTTGATCTAGATTTCCGGAGGAAGGTACACAGCTCGACAGATCAGAATCCTTATTGGAGCAAAGATTTCCCCGGCCTTGGTTCTAAGACAGCCGCTGTAGAGCGCTAGCGCAGCCTGCAACGAGCCGCCCAAACCACAAACCAGGTGGAAGGCTTGCCTTTCCACAAACACAAAAATGTATGTGCTGGTGTGTATATGTGTGTGTGTGTTCTGTGCCAGGGTATCTTTTTGGGTTGGTTTCAGGGAACCCAAGCAAGATCACCCATTTTGGTGTACGAGAATATACGCCATTAAAAACAAATTGAACCACACACACACACACGCTCACCAACATATGCTTGCCCATCATACCCCATGTAGGTCCTAATAACATATTATGCATGTTCAACCAGGTGCCCACCCCACTTTTAAGTTTCAACGTGGCTGCCACTGCTAGCCACTGACTGCAGTGACAACGGGATCTTTTGGGTCCCATACCGTGGGTTGCTGCTGCTGGTTCCTTGTCGCTGCCTGCTTTTGCGCGTCAGTGCATTGCATCCTTTGTGTAACAAATCTGAAAAAAAAACAGGGCAAGCTTGGTGTGGTGCTGGGCCCCTCGACAACAACAAAGAAATCATGATCTTCAGCAAACACCGCAATGTACTGTTGGCATGCCAGCATCTTGATTGCATGGACATCCCAATTTCAAGGATGACATGCTCGAATGTCCCAGCATCGAGTCTGGCAGGCATTGTGCCACCTCAGCGTGAAACCGGAGTTGTGGCACTGTACGGCTCTTCGCAAGAGGAGGCATGGCGGTGTAGAGAAAGTTGGAGGCAAACACAGCTGCACAAGCAAGCATGCACGGACGCAACGCACGCATCCACACAAACACAAACAAACAAGCAACCAAACAAAGCAAACCAAAGCAAAGGCAGAGCAATCACAAACAAAACAAACAAACAAACAACCACACAGACAGACGGACAGACAGACAGACAGACAGGCAGGCAGGCAGGCAGGCAGGCAGACAGACAGACAGACAGACAGACAGGCAGGCAGGCAGGCAGACAAACATTCAGGCAGATAGGCAGGCAGACAAACAGACTAACTCACTAGCTAACACACAGACAAACAGACAGATAGACAGATAGACAAACAGACAAGCAAACAAACAAGCCAAAACAAACCCAACCAAACAAAACCAGGACAGAAAGAACTAAACAAGCACACAGACACGCAAACAAGCACACACACATGTATATATATATATATATATGTATGTACTATAACAATAACAATAATAATAATAATAATAATAATAATAATAATAATAATAATAATAATAATAATAATAATAATAAATAATAATAATAATAATAATAATAATAATAATAATAATAATAATAATAATAATAATAATAATAATAATAATAATTCATAAATATATATATATATATATGTATATATGTATACATTGGTTGGCAGCTACAGTCAGTCACCGCGCAAGAACGCATGCATACCTGCAGGCACGCCGGCACATTCAAATTGACACCCCGTTACCCCCTTCCCCCCCCCCTTCCCAAGAAGATGATTGTGGCTGTCGATCTGTTCTTTTGCTTTCGCCGCATTCTTTGGAATCGCTACTGGCAAGAATGATGCAGCCGCATGAAGGCGTCATACCAAAGGTTGTGGTCTTTTGCGGCTGCTTCGCAACCCTGGAAGGCTAAAGCTACTGCATGAAAGAAAAGGGAACAAGAACAGGCGGTGTACCTTCAAACATGCAACGTTGATTCCTTTGACAACCTCTGGAATTTGTCAAGGCAACACACACACACACATAATGCTGATGTCCAAACACGTCGTGTCGGCCATGTTGATTTGTAACATCAGGAATTGGGAAGCCTTTTCACCTTTTGACTCTAGTTGCCTCGTGTGCCCTCCTGAAACACTTGGAACATGATCACTTCTGAGTGTTTCTTTTGGGGCCACCCGTTTCACCTTGGTTTTTCTGGGAAACCAACAGAGGAACACCGCCATTTTGGGGATCCCTCGATTCTGACGACCTAGCCTTGTGCAAATGGCAGGTCCCCTCTCCACGCCTCGCCCTGCCAGGACACGGCGAGCATGTCAGGTCTATGAGCCTCGGAGGTGCGGGTAGCGCTCACCGGTTGGGGCCGCATTGGTGAGATACTGTGCATGGACGAAATCCATTTCGCACTACTTCAGAAACCTTGGAATGAGGAAGTATCCTGTAAATACCAACCAACGATGGCTTTCCAAAGTTTCAAAGTGGTGCAGGATTTCGTCCATCCACAATATAAAAGATTCAAGCCTATGTTGAAATCTCAGGCGCTTGCGTGTTGCATTTAGCTGGAACCAAAATGAGTGCCCGCCAATGCAGGGGATGAGCAAACCGGGAACGAGCAAAAATCCACTTCCGACAGCTTTTCAATGCAGACATGTGGGCAAGCACAAGGCTAACGTTTGAGAAGGAAACCAAGTACGTCTTGCTTCGTCCACAATACATTGTGAGGCCGTCAAAACCTAGAAACGTGGATGACGCAAGGTAGGTTCCACTGTGGATCTGTGAATTTGGGGCCTTGTGCCTGGTGACAGCAATTCCGAGCAAACCTCCACCTACGTCAAAGGTGAGTCAAACATGTCGATCTTTGTTTTCCGTACCCAGTGCCCAAGCACGCATCGGTAAAGGCTCAAACAACGAAGGGCGGAGAGTCTGGTAGAAACTCAAACCCAATGAAGTAGAACGCCAAATTTGCAAACCGTAACCATGATGTCTGGGCCCGTGAGAAGTGAACCGCTAGTCATTGACGGGGTGCTGAGAAAATGAATTCCCGAACAGGGATTGCTCCTGATTGATGAGAGCGAATATCAATTCATGGCTTACACCTGCATATTGTTGATTGGAAACACATTGATATGGCTCATCCTCTCTATCCAACGCCTCCAAGAGGTTCAAGCAATAACTGACCAGCAAATGGTGCCAACGAGGTGGGTGCAGGATTTATCGCCACACCGGGACAAGCGTATCCGGCAACAGGCAGAAAACGCCAAAAGCAACGCCATGAGTTCACCAAAGCTTTGGTCGCGCACGCACCACTTCTCTCCTCTGCCTTAGTCTGTGGGCTTCTTCTCATCGTCTGAGTCTGCGCCATGCCAGATCTGACCTTGCGCGGGGAAAGCTGAACTGAAGTGGACGCTTCAGGAAATAATTTCATGGACTTGTACGTTTGAGTGAAGCCTCAAGTGCAAACCCTACGTGTTTAGCACCAACGCGCGCCTGCAAGACTGGTTCGAAGCATGGGGTTGTGCAGTTGCTTATCATTGTGTGTGTGTGTTTGTGTGTGTGTGCGCGTGTGAGCAAGCCAAACCATCTTTCAACATCTTTGCGTCACACACCGCTTGTCCAGTGGAGTGCAAAAACGAATTCTTGCTGTCCAGCTGACACATGAGCGAACAAGTAAGTCATGGGCAGGCGACAAGCCTATGGTCTTTGCGGATGACGGACATTTGAACAGGTTCCGAAGTCAAATTCCAGCTCGGTCCTAAAAGAACTCACATCCTTTTGCAACTCCATGCAAATTCTAATCAAACAACATGTCACCTCAACTTCGAAAAGGAGTTCCTATTTAAACAGCTTAAAGGTCACGCTTTTTCCACTGCCGATGTGCACTTTGGCCACGCACCTTTTCAGCACAAGAGTAGTACCCGACGTCAGTGGGATTGCAACAGCTCTGCTAGTTGTTTTGTTTATTGTTTTTGCTTTGAAGGGAAACGCAGCAAATCGTCAACTTGGACTCATTCTTATCTAAATCGTTACTTGCAATGCAATTCCTATCAACATTATGTGGCGCTTATCTGCTTTGATCGGATTCGGCTTAATCATTGTCAATAACAACTATATATATATATATATATTTAAAAAAATAAAAATAAAAATACGAAAGTGTCCATACATTGGCACACAATGCTGTATAGCGCAGTGTATTCAGCATTTGCTCAGATCGTGTTCCCCTGGATCGAAGGATTGAACATAAAACGAAGGCATGTAAACCGACACATGCAGCGTGCCACGCAGTACACTAGTAAACGAACATACTGTTTATAAACTTTGAAGCCAGTTTATAAACCTTCCCAATGGCTCGGTTTCACGCAAACGCACCAGGCGGCGCCGGGGGGGGGGGGGGGGTCTTCGTGGCCCTCCCCTCTCCCCCGACCGACTCACAAAATTCTGATCAGGACCTAGCTCAACATACACAAGACTAGTTTACAAACCAACCGGAAAACTTGTATTGCTGTAGCTGTTCAGCATGTCAATGTGCAACCAAAACTTTTCACCAACCAAATTTTGTGCATTAACAAATTCATCGCCAACTTCATACTCAAATAACTCTGGTAGTGGGGGGGCGGGAGGTTGTCCTACCATATATATATATATGCATGGCACCACAATTCTGCCACAAAATTAATGATGCAACAAACTAACATATACACCACTAGAACAGAATCGGTAAAACTCGCAGAACTTAGGTCCATGGAGAGAGGCGGGGCAGGGGGGGGACCATGCATACATATATAATTATATATATATATATAAACAGAGTAAACACACATGCACGAGCCGCAGAGCGTACTTTGTAGTGCATTTGTTTGCTTCCCCGCTCCAACATCCCCTCTTAAGACTTCACTTTGAAGCATTTGTCTGCTGAGTATATGTTGTCAATTCGTCTATCGATTGTTTCCTTCTGGCAAGGGCGAATCTAACCCACTGTCCGAACAAAAAAGCAAACCTCGACGTGCGCGCCAAAAAACAGCTCTCACTGGGAGAGGTGTGCCATCCGCATAGAACGTGTTCCTCTGCCTCGCCCTTGCTTCCTCTGTTTGGCTTGCGTGTCGCACCGCTGTTCCCCCGCCTTGGCCAAAGATTTCGCCAAGGAGGTCGAAGGGGAAGAGCGAGTGGTGCTTGTTCGACCACTCAATGTAGACCGCATATCGCCCTGCGGTCTCCACCTAAGGCGCAAAGCTCCATGGGACCACAGCTCATTGTCAAAAATATGTTGCACATTGCAACCTCCCATCTGTTCGCAATTTGATCAACTAGATCAATCAGTTTCCTTCGGTCTTCGCAGGTTCAGGAGCACGGTGTGCTTATATAAGCTTCTCCGGTCACGACGGCTGTTGACTTGATACGCGAGGTCAACAAACAAAGTTTGTGTCATGTGTACGGCTTTCGGATCGATGCTTGTCCAAAGCTTGAGTTTACCTACGGTTAGCTGCTTCTCACGATACAACCAGGCTAGCAACACTGCATTGTGCCAACACCAACTACATTCACCTTGTGACTCATGTGCACACCGTGGATATGTGCATCGCTTCCTTTGGAAAGCATAGCATGCCTGGCCCCATGGCTTTTTTCGATGTTGACCCCACCTTGGTGGCCCTGACGTTCTTCGGTATGTCCTGATCCCGGAAGAGCCGCTCGCCGGTCATCTCGTCCCTCATTTTGGCCTCCAGCGTCTCTCTCAGTGTGAAAGACATAGACCGCTTAGATACTAGGTCCTCCAGTAGAGAGGTTAGAATAAGGGTACCCGATTTTTTGTCTGCAGTCTATTTTAGTAGGGAACCCTCCCAAAACAAAAAGAGGGAGAGAAGGGCACTACTGAGGGACCTAGGATACCTCAGATACATCCTGTGCTTCAAGGCCTAGCTTGGAAGCAAAGCAAAACCTTCGAGGTGCTCAGTGCTCAGCGACAGCCACACAATCACACACAAAGAACGTTGTACACTCAGAATCTCTCTCTCTCTCTCTCACGCGCACACATCACACTTACACACACGCATACATAGCTCGCAAACACACGCACATACACTCATGCGCATGCACACAAATAAGTAACCAGCCAGGCAGGTAGGCAAATAGACGGCCAGGCAGGCACGCTCATGTTCTGCTACGGCAGTGTAGCACACACGTAGGAGTGGGCAGCCTTTGCGGCCAAAAACCTGGCGACGTCCATCGCTTGTGGAGTTTGGACCATCCCTGCTTCTGATTTGGGGAGGACTCCCAGCTCCAACGGCGGGGCCAAACGTATGATCCACCCGGTCCGTTTGCCGGGCCGCTGACCGGCACTCCAAGAGCACCTCCCTTGCAGCCAACGCAACCGGCTGCTCGCCGGCCCGTTGCAGGACAAGTACAGCGCCCTGCACCTCCATCTGCAGCTGGGGCTGCTCATCTGGCGGGCAGAGGGGCGAGAAGGCAAGCTATGGTCGCTGCGGTCACAACGATGCAACGGCCATCTGATTGAGACCTTCAGGCCTAGATCAAGGGGTTCGGGTCTGCATAAGATCCGAGAGCAAAGTAAAGTCAAGCATCCACCCTTTGAAAAACGGAAGGCATGGGTCTCCTCAGGTTGCTCAACCTTTCAACTCAGCCAATGCGAGCTGCTCTTAAAGAAAAAGCTTCCATGGAATTGTTGTGTCGATATATTTGTTTCCGGCCACGGTCACACAATACGGTCATACAGTGCGATAGAACTGCAGGTACATGAACCAGCACTGCAATATCAATTGATGCTCGAACGGAGAACCGGTCCAAACATGGATGAATGGCTACCCGTAAATGGCAGGGGCAGCAAGGCAAGCAAGTGAGCAAGCACGCGAGCCAGAACCACTCCACGGAATCAAAGCCCTTACCTTCACCAAAGCAAGCCAACACACTTGAGGTACGGTGGACCCAAGCTACGAACCTGATGCAAAGACGGGGTGCACAAGATCTGGCAATCTGCGGGAAGTCAATATAATGACTGAGGCGAAGCAAGCAAACAACACGAGACGAGAGAGGAGAGGAGAGGAGCGGACAGCAAAGCCAGAATCAGGGGCTCAGAAACAGGTCAGGAGCGTTTCGAAATGAACTCCGAGAAGACTAACCGTTCAACGTGAAGAATGGAGCACAGGGCCAGGAAGCGTGCGCAAAAGAACAAGAGCAGAAGGACAGCAGCAGTAAGAGCAGAGGAAACGCGAAAGGAAACACGAAGAGTTTCCCAAGTGGCGAGGAAGCATAGGAGCAGGAAGAAGAAAACGAGAACTCACCGGCCGCGGGCGTCGGAAAAATCCGGAATCACCTCTTGGAACAGCGGTCCAGCCACGGGATGGGACCTTAACGGAGAAGCAGCGAAGTGAACTGCCGCTCGCACGGCTACTGCATTTCATTGCGGTACAACAAAAAGCAGCGCAGGTATGGGTATGGGTCAAAATTAAACCACCAGGGGAACGCAGGTTTTGGTCCATGCTTCCATTTAACAGGTTTCCATTTCGGGTACATATTTCTGACCCAGCCGCATCACGCCTTTCATGTCTTGGACGGCTCTCTGAGCTCCTTCGGCAAGCCGCTGAAATTCAGCAACGATGTCGCCGGTAGATTCGGCCAATACAAAGGGCATACCTCAGCACGCCGGCTGGTCATTTCTGCTGTCCCTCCGTGAAAACCATGAGAACCTGTGGTGCCAGTGATGCATCCCATGAGGTACAGGTCACTTGTGACATGCTTTGAAACTCTTGAAAAATGTGCCAGTGCCACATGCCTGGATTCCAGTGCTGGCACTCCACGACTCCTGCCGCATTTCAGTGCTGAAAAAGGCCATGGTTTATCAATTTTCTGGCCATGAAGCTGGCTATCAATTGCGCATTTTGAAACTCAATTAACTCTAACAGGACACCTTGGTATTGGCAATAGCTCCAGAACATGATTCTGTGGAAAAGGGATGTCCTTGCCCAAGCTAAAACGTCTTTTGGCCAAACCTTGGCGCCTACGATATTCGCAGTCGGCCGAGGGAAAAGGCCGTCTTTGATCAGACTCGGGTGTCGGCTTGTGTCTCTTTTTTGGAACATGAGCACACGGGTACGAATCTTAACGGGGACATTCATGTCCGACAACCAATGTGGAGGTGGTGGCCTATTGAAATGCATAGCCACATGGTGCAACTTTCCTGAGATATCCACTTGACACCGACCAATTTGCGAGCACGAACGACCATGCTGGGTTTGCACAAAATGGCGGGTGCTTTCGACGCAGGGATCAAACAGGGTTTTTGGCCGCCCAATCCACAAGAGCCAATTGGAACTGGTGCCCTCTGCATTTGGGGGCACCTCTCAATCCTACTTTTCCCTTTAGGTTTCATGCAACAACATTGAACTTTCGCCGGGCTCCCTGGGATATGCCCATGAGTCAAAATCCCGTACCCCCAGTGAACATCCCAATCCCCACTAAAATAGACTAAAATGGGTGGTGCAGCAGTGGTGCACCTAACCCCAAAATGGTACCAAAGGTTTTGACCCACATCCATATGTCAATACGAATTGGAGGTGATCCGAACCCAAACAAAAGTGGGGAAGTGTGCGCTAACATGTGCTAACCCTATTCCTTGCCAGGATTCCTGCACTGGAGAGCGCGGGATTCAACGGGAGCCGGAAGAAGCGCTCGATGCCGAAATCTTTTGCAAGCTTCTCCTGAGCTCAGCTGAAATGAATCGGAGTGCTTCGGGCTGGGGAGTCATTGTCAATTCCGGTGAGTATTGAAATGCTCTACCCAAAAACCATAAAGACACAAAAAGGGCGGCTGCAACCCTGGCTGCTGTTATTTACCAATCTTGAATCCAGGTTTGGAGGAGGCTCAAGGGACTCAAGCGGGTCCGTTGCTTCACAAGATGAGTGGATTCTGAGGTCTTCACACCCAACCCCACTCACTCATCTTGGGGTGCTTCGTTCCCATCGATCAAAGCAAGAACGCCATGAAGGTATGGGGTGGGGGGAAGTACTCGTGGCCAAGGAGCAGCAATGTGAGGCATTCCGGACATCAGGTTCAGCAAACAATCCCTCCCACATCTTTGGCGCGTCTGGCAGGCGTCATAGGGTCAAATGAAGCCTTAATGTTAGATAGCGATTAATAAAACCTGAGTGAATACAGAAGCACAATCTCAAAATTATTCACTCTCCTGAAAAGCAACAAGGGTAGGTATTACAGAAAAAAATCTGCCCGAAATCCCGAAAATATGTCTCCTTCCAAGAATGGACTATTTTTGAGGGTTGAAACGTTTGAGTCCAGCCAGAAATGTCCAGAATCTCTGGATTGCTTCCTGTCCCAAACCACCAAATTCCTTATCAATCCCTTTACTAGAAGATGCACCCTGACACATTTTCAAGGGGGGTGGCACACGGAACCCCCAGGAAGGCAATAATGCAGTTTGTTTAAGAGTAGGGAATTGTAAAGAAAAAAATGGCCAGGGCAGCCTGCCAAGAAGAAAGCCCTGCTGTTCTCAGATAAAGCCAGAAATGTCCAGAATCTCTGGATTGCTTCCTGTCCCAAACCACCAAATAACTTATCAATCCCTTTACTAGAAGATGCACCCTGACAAATTTTCAAGGGGGTGGCACACGGAACCCCCAGGAAGGCAATAATGCAGTTTGTTAAGGGTAGGGAACTGTGAAAAAAAATGGCCAGGGCAGCCTGCCAAGAAGAAGAACCAATACTAAACCAATTCTAAACTGTAGTGAGTCAACTGAAAAGAATACTGAACTAATACTAAACCAATTCTAAACCGTAGTGAGCCAGCTCAAAGGAATACTAAACCAATACTAAACCAATTCTAAACAATACTCACTGGAAAACTACTCAGGCAGGTCCCAGTCTGACCCCCATTTTGTTTTTGGCGGTTCTCGCTATTGACCCCCCCAATTCGTTTGAGGGGGGGGGCCCTTTATTAATCACTCCCCAACATTACACAAAAACATCAGCCCCCAGCAGCGCAAAGCACGTCCTGACTCTTGACGGCATGTTGCCCCAGAACCTGAATCTGAACGAGGCTACCATCCAAAATCCAGAGCATCAATGAAGACCAGCATGTCAACCCGATCCGACCATGGCAACCGCGAAACAAGATGCACATCCGTCTTCCCCGAAGCCGGATCGATCCAAGTCTCGCCGGAACCCCGCTGAAAGATTTCATGGCGTTTGCTGCAGCCATCGCACACGAAGAATGACATGTTCTCCACGATGGCCACAGTTGGAATCTTCACCTGTCCATGGCTCCTTTTGGATTCCCAGATATGCCACAGGGGGAGCGGGTACCGGGGTCTCAGTTCCATTTGTCCTAGCCTCGTCCTTCCGCAGTTCCACGAGTCAACTCCATTCACAAGGGGTGGGGATTCCCAAATCCTGCCCCCGGGTGAAATCCATTCCTGCAGATTCACACAAATTGCACACACATGGAGTCACAAGTGATCACAAAAGAACAGCATGGCTCCGATTCGGCCTTTGGGCCGTGGATCGATGATTTTTCCACGACGGTTTACAAACATCCTCGCACAAGGTCGCATTCATGCAACGACTTCTCCTAAATGATGCTCTTGAATGCTCAAGCTGCGTGTGAACAAACACGTCTTCAGCGAGTGCCATCAAATGAGTCTCCAGCGCCTTGTCGAACATTCCTTGGCAGGCTGGCAGAACTCATGCGATAAAGGTCTGCTGCAAGCGAGCAAATAAGCCAGTCAAAACTTGTTGTCTCAGCGAGTGACATAGGAATATGGTGAGCACCCCATTTCCCCATAATTTGGAGTTTGTGTGCCCCTCATTTCGTTTACCACAGAGGTAAATATGGCTCTGTCTGCTTTTGAGGGTGCCGCCTTTTTCGGGTTCTTAGAGGGACACCAAAAGAAAAAGTGAAACCCTTCATGCTGCATGCTTCACTTACAGCTGAGTCAACATCCTGGGACCCCTCAAGCCCTCTCGAGAAGGGTTTGGAGTAATTGCCTGTGACCTGGCACGATTCGGGGGCTGGCAAATGAAGGTTTGTCAAAAGTAGGTGCACTTTTGGGCATCTTCAAAAAAGGCCGCACAAGGCACCAGGTCTCAAAAGAGTCCATATTTTTGACAGCACCCTGATGGCTGCTTCTGCTCTCAGACAATATCTAGGCTCGTGGTCGCAACACATGGTGCTTGTGCTTGCTTCTTGAGACAAAAAAGAAGGCTCAAAAAGTCCAAAGGACACGGAAATAGAGGGTTCACCAAGGTCAACCACACTCGGGATTTGGACAACCCAGTTCCATGTCCTTTTGCTGCCACTGCGGCAACCAGTAAAGGCTTTCCCACGAAACCAACATAAGCACACTGAATTCATGGCTTCTCAGCCTATCAGCCCTTTCGGCCGAGTCGCGGATGCCCTTCTCCACATCGATGAGGCTCAGTTGTTGCGGAGTTGTGACAACAATGGCCGCATCGATCCGGGCCTTGCCGCAGATCTGTCAAACTCACCTACCATCAGCCCGTCGCTTTCGAGCAGGTTACCAAAAGCCAATGCCCAAAGGGCTGTGTACAAGAAATGCCCCTCCAAGTAGATTCGCCCTTCTTTACAAGCAGGGTTCTCCAATCTGCATGCACTCGCAAACGTACCTACGCATATGTATAATAAAGTATATGTTTATATATACACTCATACGTTGTTGTGCTGGTTTGCTTGCATGTTGTTTCAGTTTTTGTGACCGCGCGTGTGTGAACACCAAATACAGCACCTCCACAATGGATGGTTTGGGATGCCTTTCAAACCCTTGCCAAAAGAAAGGACCCCACTTCTTAACCATTTGCTTAAGCTTCCTGGAAATAAATAAATAAACAGTATTTCCAGTAGTGACAGATTCCCTTTAAAACAACAGCAGATCATCAACAACATGGGTATGGGTCAAAATCAAACCACCAGGAATTGAACCGCAGGTTTTGGTCCATGTTTCCACTGACTGCTTAAGCATTAAGCAATGGACAAACAGCTGACGGTCTCTAGCTCGCCTGCTGCGCCACTGTGAGGTGAATATCTCCGGTGCCGGGCGGCATGTCCACCAACAATACGTCCAGCTCGCCCCACCTGGCGCTGGGCGAATCGGCCCCGGACTCAAAACGGCGAGAGTGAGGTCTCCACTTGGAGGATCAACGTCAGCCTTTCCAGTTGATCTTGGCTGCATCAACTTGGTTGATGGATGAGCCAAGTGACAATTTGAACGCATCATTCTGATATGTGCTTGGCTGAGGGGGCTGGCCCTGTGTGCGATGCCCTGGGCTATTTCCAGGCATATAGTTGTGTAATTGTGCGAATACATGTAGGTTCTTCAACCGTCTGCTTGGTGACGTATTTGTACTTCGTGCAGGGCTTCTGTCCATCAAACACCCCAAATTCTGGACCCTCTGTCAAGACTTTTGCCAAAGGACCCATACTGTTGGCAATGAGTTTGCGTGTACCATGCCGCCTTGAAAAGCAACCCAAAAAAAGAAAACACACACTCAAACACATCGCTGCTCGGTAGATGTCTGTTTTTTGCCTAGGGCTGGTTTTTTCGTTCCGCTAGTTTTTCGCATCCCCAGCATCACCAGCCTCACTTGGACCTACGGCCTCGGGCTGCCTATTGGCGGGGCTTTAGGCTGGCTTATTGGATCTTATTGAGGGTGGGTCTTGGATTGATTGGGTTCATGTAGGCTCAGCGAAGGGCTGACATCCAGGCTGCTGTTGGGTGGGGTTAAGGTTGACTTTGGGTGGGTTTGGGGGGTTGCCTTGGAGCTGGTTTGTGTTAGGTGTGCTGCTGGTTTAGCAGCTGCTTTAGGGTTGCTTTAGGCTGCGGTTGGGTGAGTCTTGGGCGAGTTCCAGCCAATGCCCCCAATACCCGAAAACCAGCCCAAAACTCACCCAACCACGCCAAACAGCAACCCTAAGGCAGCTGCCAGCAGCACACCCAACACAAAGCAGCGCCAAGCCAACCCCAAACCCAGCACTTGGTTTTCCCTTCAAACCACGAACAGAACACAAATCCTCAGAAAAGACGAGCCACCTAGATCCAAACAGGGGTCACCCCCCTCCCCGATTCCATCTTCAACGTGTTGACGCGATATTCACTCCGAACATCCGAGGCGATGGTTTGACGCGCTCAGCCGAGGTCCGGGCTCCGTGGTCGTGAGCATCTGCCCCACCATGGCCGACACCATGGGCCCCCGCACCGCCGCGTAGTCCGCGGGCCGCAGAAAGCCCATGGACATCAACGGCGCCCCTGGAAAACGTCTGGCAAACGCCGCATCCACCAAACCGCTGCACAAAGAAACACGAGTGGGTGTTTCATGGTCTCTGCACTTGTGCAACAGATAGCTCAAGGTTCCATAGTGGTGAAGTATTGGATGAAAACCAAAAATCTAAGTTCCAGCAGGTCAGCATGTGCCGTGCAAGCAAGCGAAGGGTCAGGTCGTGTCCGCGGGGTGCCTTTTCCAGCCACGACCCGCCTTCGAAGTGCAGGGGGATGATGCCTGCGCTGTGCGAGTCCCCAAAGCATCACACAGCCTTGAACTTGATTTTGATGCTAGGCTAGGATCCAAGCCTTGTCGCCAAATTTCTGAAACGTAACATGTAAATCTCACCAGTCGAAAAGGCTGTTCATAAATGCAATGTTCAACAGCTTGGCAATGTGTTGCTTGAGAAAACGTGTCTTGAGAGGCTCCAAACCAAAAATTGCTCTACCCTCCGAAATACGTGTGTTGCTGACACATCCCTGAAGATGCGAGCCAAAAAGGCTCGTGCTGCAAACCTGGCCTAGTGTCACAAACCTCATGAGTACTGGTCGAGGCGTGCGTATCCAAAACCTTGGCAGAGTCAGTCCTGGAAATACGCAACTAAGACAGGGTGCAACGGTACCCTGAACAAAATCCGCTAAGTTGCCGCAAAGTCGACTTGCCCAATATTTCTGGAGGCTTCTCCAACTAGGAATCGGACCCCTTTTTTGGATGGGCGTTCAAGGGAAACCAAGACTAGGTCCTCCAGTGGAGAGGATAGAATAAGGCAACCTGTTTTCTGTAGTCTACTTTAGTAGGGGAACCCTGCCCCGAAAAAGGGTAAAAGGGCACTACTGACCTTGAAAAGGCTTCCACCTACCCGGAGTCCCTCATTTTGAGCACCACTGCACCCTTCAGATCGCGCCTCCCGCCTCTGATGCGTAGACCTTCTCAGCGACGCTGGCCGGCACCATGGAGGGCAGTGAGGGCCCGTAGATGTCGGCGTCCAGAATGCCCACCTGGCAACACTCGGCTGGAACTGAGAAACATGGGGCCGCCAAAGCACAACATGCCACAGGGGGCAGGACATGTAGCGACACTGAACAGGCAGTGCTACACGCGTCTTCGAGGCTGTGGGACTGAAGCGTCCTCAAACCGCAGTACATGTTGAATCAGCGCAACAAACCATTGCCTAACCGGCCTAACCATCTCGCCAGCAAACTCGATGCCAAATTCATTGACAACCAACATGGTGTGCCAACCACAGAAGCGGCCTAGAAGCGGCCTAGATTTGGACGTTTCTAGACTTGCAAGCTCCCACACCGGCTCCTCCAACTCTCAAACACACAGTCACGGGAACAGGGCGGAAGCATTTCAGGATTCTACCTGCAAGAACTGAACACTATCTTGCTGTGGCACTCCCTGTGCCTTGAAAAGATCATGCAACGCGAGACTCCACAGCATAGCAGAGTAGCTGTCCCGCTTCGACATCGAGTTACAGGAAAAGCCATTTCTAGTACACGGTTTGCCTTGCAACTTAAGGGTACAAGTTGACATACTGCTTGGCAAGAAGAAACAACGACATGTCGGACGCTGTCAAACTATGCGTTCACTGCTATGGACATCATCAATTATATAGTGACTGTTGTGGATTGGAGATTCCCTCATGTCCTCTCGACTACACCATGGACTACTGGCAAAGTTCACCGAACCCAGGTGTGCACAACACACAAACGCACATGCTGCGCTAGCTGCCTTGAGGCCCAAATGTCTTTGCATCGTGAAGGCCAAGTTGACACACACCTCGGCGGAAAAGTGGGGCAGAAACCGGGTCTGAGAAATCAACGAGATGATCCCGCCCATCAAAGCCATGTCAATCTTGGGATCGCTTTGGCATCGCTTCTCAGCTGTGTTTTGGACGTTTTGCAAGGAGTCAAAGCGAAAACCTACGGCCAAGCCTGAAAAGTGCCGCGGTGGTGAAGGAAGCAAGTCAAAAACAAGCATGGCACAACCGACTAAAATTCCAGTCAGAGCCATGCCACTCCCGACTAACTTAAGCAAGCCCGCAATGCCGGGAATCGCACAAGCTGCCAACATCCCAAGCCCGCTGTCTCACAGTGCTGATTCAAACTCAACAATTTCAACATATGCCACTCGCAGCTTACACTATACCCTTGCTGCCATTCTGAACTTCTCATCGGAACACAAAGACCCTCAAGCCTTGTGTTTGCCGGTGCTTTCAGTTTCACTAAATGTTAATCTGGAGCTTCTGCCAGCCGCTTGCACCACTATTCAAGTACACTCTGTTCATGTAGTTGATGCGCATGACGAACAAGTATGTCACCTTGATTGTCGCGGAACAAACATGGAACCTGACTGAGGCTGCCTGGGAGAACACTCTGAAGGTCCCCATGTTTGATTGCGTCGGAGTCTTCGACCCCAGCCAAGTCAAGCTTCCTAACCACTGCCCAGCAGAAGAGCAAAGGAGAACAGCAAAGAGCAAAGCGGGAAAATGAGAAAAGGGGGGCGGGAGTCGGGGGAGATGAGGGGCATAGTTTGGATGTGATTGAGGACGAAGGAAGCAGAACTTCTCAGTTCCGACGGGCTCTATGCAGCCCAAGAGCAGAGCTCTTGCCCACACCACCCTTGCCGGAAGCCACTGCCAGCACGGAGTTGACCTGTCTCAAAATGATCGACCACTCCAAGTGGAGGGCTTTCTTGATGTTGAGTCATACCCGTCATATACAATCATAACATTTGGGGAAATCACGGGACATCATCGTCGCTGGGACGGGATTGATACAAGATGGGTCTTGATTGGCCACGCTGCGTGGCCTAGTGATGCACGCAGCCCCACAAAGCTAAGCAGCAGAAGGTTGGAGACGTGCCCGAACCAAAGGATTGAAGATTGTCAGAAATAACGTCTCCCGCTGATGCTTTCTGGACAGAGGTCTGAGCTTGAAAGATGTAAGAAACACGTTTGAGCAAAAATAGAAACGGGTAGCACAATATGAGCGCAGAAGTGATCTGGTGCCCCGGTCTCGCTTATTGGCTCATGTCATCGAGTCGGTGAGCATGGCATGCGACTGCATTTTGGAAGATGCACGGCCTTGTATGGCCTTGCAATACATAGCTGCAGCTAGAATCTGTGCATAATGCAAATGCAAACAAAACACCAATCGAGCACTGGTTTTACCTGCATTTGTTAACACGAATGCAGCCGCCCCAACGTGGCCTGTGAGAAGACGTCACTCAAATCAAGATCCACGCATATCCGGGCATCAAATGACATCTACCTGTCGCTCCCCAGCCCGCGGCAAGGCCTTGGACAAACCGTTCCTCGGGCGAACCATCGGGAGCCGAGCGAGATCTTGTGTCTTGCCACTGTTGCCGTCCTGAACGAAACAAACCAGCCAGCTCGGGGAAGAAACCCTACCCCCCGACCTGCTCCACTGATTTTGGGCCTTCCACCCAAAGAACCGCCAGGCGGCACCGGCGGTTTCTTCGCCGCGGCGGCGAAGTGCCGGCAGCGCCTGGAGCCGAACTGAAGGTGAGAAAATGTCTCATAAGTGACGGGTTCTCCGGCAAAATTCGAGCCGTTTTTTCACCAGCCCCCAGTAAGTATAAAACAATCAGGTACGAGGGCAAGGGAAATAATCCATGGGTGAACAAGAATAGTCGCCTGGACCAACTGAGCAAAAGAGCAGTCGTCACTATCAGAGCTCAAGGATGCCTTCCTCTATATGCGAACGATCCGCGATGAAATTGATCGATAGGTACCAAATCGAATAACCCAAGCATCTCTCGTTCTCACATACACACATGGGTGGTGAAATAGAGTAACCCCAAAATGGAGCGCTAAATGGAAACAATGAAACTGAAGCCTGCAGTCCATATCCTGGTGGCTTGATTTTAACCCACATGTCCAACTGCCGGACCCCCACAGAGTCAAGGCACAGGCGCCGCATGGAGGCATAGAGGCTTGCCATGGCGTGAACGCGATCGAACGCGCTTCGCCCCTTCGGATTGCTTGGGAGAAGAGAGATGCCTGTGAGCTTTCCAGTGTCTCCAAGAGTACACCATGAAAAAAAAACGAGAACATGGAAATGCAAAATGCAAGTGGTATACAAACATAATCCCAACTACAGTACAAGACATCTAGTTTCAACATATTTGTGGATTTTGCAAAAGCCAAAGAAAGTAAGGTGCTCAAAAGGTTGATTTCAGCCATACTTCTGAAGGCCGAGCTGCCAAGAGCCTGGCCACATACTTGTTTTTTCTTCTTCTTTTTTTATTAAATCAAACAACACCTTCCAACTGATTCACCGCTGAAAGCAGTTCTCAAAAAACACCTTCCAACTGAATCACCTCTGAAAGCAGCAACGTCCAAAGTCAGGCTATGAGTTTGTTGCCCGTGGCTTTGAGCAATCTTGGATGCCGCCTGTGTGTGGTGATGTTCCATCTAAGCTGACAGGATGCAGACAAGCAAAATGGGACGCCCATTCGGATGCCACTTAAAGGCGATTCAAGCACACCTTTTTGAAGGGTCTCAGTGCCTGTTTTCAGAGAGCAAGGCATAGCAGCTTGGGACCAGCTGCTATGCCTTAGTGACCAAATTTAGATGCGCTCGCTCAGCTGTGGCTGTGGTTTAGGGTCAGTCAGCCCTCTGTCCTCACGCGCTCAGAGCTTGCAGGATCATTTAACGAGATACTGCCATGCCTGGATATTTGGCAAGCAACGTGTGGAGAGAGGCAAACACCTATGCTGCCAAAAGAAGCAATTGAGTACGTCCATGCGTCATGCATTGAAGAAGAAAAGGTGCTGGACTGCGTTGCGGTCAAACGTTGGTTTGACCAAAACACCGCAAATACCAATTCAAGGCCAACACAAATGAAAACCGATTACACGATGAATGCACATTGCTTGTCTGGATGTTGATTGGCTCAGCTGCCCAAACTTCAGTATTGAAAACAAAAGACCCCTTACCTTGTCAACCGGAAGTATCTTGAGGGGTCCAGTAATTCTCCTGCAAACATCAGCTTCCATCTAAGGGGTTGTTTGGATTGGTTGTTTGATGGTTGAGGAAGGGTTTCCCATTCACCCTCTACATCAGCCAGGGGTGCAAATCCCCAAACCACCAATCCAAACAAATTTTCTATCGGTTACCTGAAACAATTTGTCCTTGGTTCGGGCTCCGCAGCGTTCCCGCAAGGCAACCACTATCTCGGACTCACAATCCAGAGCATGGATTTTGTTCGTGGCAAGGGCTAGATCTGGGTTGTTCTAAATGCGGGGATCCCTAATCCGAATGCATTGCCTCCATTTGCTCAAGTCCCCTAAACCAATCCAACAATATCTACAGTGATAGATTATAATCATCAAACAAAAGTCAACTTTGTCCCTTTACCGCAACCTTTGCGTTGGGCTCCCGGGCTCCCCAGGCGATGCGTGCCGGCCCCCGGACACGCTCCGCTGGCGAGAACACGGCAACGTCCTGCCGTGATTCCAATGTTACGCTGCTCATGGCTGAGGGAGGGGACGGGGAGGGAGCCCAAAAACCCATATAAAGCGGCCTTATTTAGGGCTTATTTGGGCTCCCTTCCCCTCCCCTCCCTTTTCCCCTGAACCATAAGCTTCTGGCTGCCGTGACAACAACGCGCAAAAATGAGAAACGGCAGGTACAGAATATCTCAAGAATGGATCGAACATAACCCATCAACTGCCGTGGATCGTTGAGGTTGGCCGAGCAAGCCGAGCAACCCATTTCTCTTGGCAACAGCACCCGGCCGCTCCTTTGATTGCCGTGTATCCAGCAGGAAGCAGTCCCCGTTCTCCCCGGCTACTGCGAGCAGCCTGGTCCCAAGACCAACAAAACCATGCTGGGGGGGGGGGGGGAAAGAGACATGAATTGGAATTCAACATGGTGACTAGAAAGCCTTGTGCATCGCGGGGTGCTTAGGTACTATTGAGAGCCGTTGGGGCTAGCATGGAAAGCACCACAAAACAGAAAAGCGAGCATCGGAAAATCAGCTTAAATATGTGGGCAAGCAAGGTGAGTCGCCCGTCTCAGTACATCACTTGATACAGACGGTTGAAACATTGAAACTGGCATCAAACTTGCTCTTCTTAACGGCGTGGCTAATTGCTCGCACCAAGGCGCCTCCTTTGCTGTGTGGTACAAGTAAGAACATCCACATTGATTTGGATCCCTTTACATCCCTCGTCCCTCTACGTGGACATGCATTCTGTTTGGCACTAGTGTGTGCCGAGCAATTATTGCCTCATGAAATATATATATATATATACATATGTATATATATATATACTCATAAATCCCCTGAAGGCAATGTAGTAAGCAACATGCATCCCTCTCGGGTATTGCAGACCCGCGCGGTGCAATAGCTTCCAGCTCGGGGCGAACAAACAAGCTGGCCGCAAAGGGGCTAAGCTACCATCTATCCATCATTGTGCGTCAACCACCTCTCAAGAAACAGTTGACTCGGGTAAGTCCAGGATTGAGGTGTCAAAGATACTGCCTGCCACCAAAGGAATAGAGCCTAGACTGGCTGATATATGGGTATGTCTGTTGTTGAGGGTACCATTTTTGGGGAACACCAAAAGGAAAACCAGCTTTGTTTGTTATTTTGTTTTTTGGGGGGGGTCCCTAACAAAAGACACGCCCATATTATTGGTCATGTTGATAGATTTTGTGATCAACGAGTCCCAACGTACACGGGAGATAGGTTAAACAAGATTATCTCGGATTTGCTTAAGTCCCCAGGAGATAACATATGCAGTGGTGGTAGATTCCCTTCAAAACCAACAGGGGAACATACATAATATTCCCAAGCAAACATGCTGCCGAATGTTCTGAGAAGAGATGCGCACGCAAGCTGAGCGCAGGCTGCCAGGGCGCCTGTTGGGGCCGTAGGCAACATCAGAGAGCGGCTGGCCGAGGTCGAAAGCCTGGCAAGATCGGGATCAGCTGATCGAGTCAAGAAAGGACGAGCCTCACGTACTGGTAATTGCTCCAAATCTGAATTCGACAGTTGACCACCATCCATGCCAAGCCAAAGTAGTTCTTTGTGTGTCTGGACAGCAGCCAAATCTTCCATGCAGGTGGATTATTGTGATAGTTCTGAAGCACAGCACCCCGCACAGAAGCGAACTGGCTTATTTCAAGTGGAAGAAACAAGGAAAGGCGAAGCACACGTACTGCAATCTGGAACCTTGTGGCTGAATGGAGCATGAACCCAGCAGGACTCGAAGCTGAGCTGAACATGTGGCAGTGATACAGACTCCTCAGCTTGATGTTCTGCATGCCATTCAACAAAAAGGCGCAAAAGGTGCGAAGCTCTTGGAGTTCCCCTCCCAAAACATCAGAACATGGCAAGCCCACACACACAGAGAAAAATCAATCTCCTTAGCACAAAAAAAAATGGAACCTAACCCGTGGCTCTGCAGTTGTTTCAATCAAGGCATTGGCTGCAGCACTTTGCGAACATCTACAGCTGCCAGACTTAGACTTGAGTCCAGACCGCCATGCTTTCTTCGAGCCATGTTTACCCAACTCTTGCTAATATAAGCTGCCAACAAAAAAGGCAATGATTCTCCCAGTCAAGCAATGTGGTGCCATACTGTGGATGGGACAAACTCCTGGACCAGTTGGGATGGATGAGACCCTGTGCAGGGCCTCGGGGTTTCGCCCAACGTGCCCGGCAACCCGATTCCCACTATTGGCCAATATGGGTCTGCCTTTTTAATGGCCCCCCCAAAATGCTGGTATTTCTTATTTTCCTTCGGTTTCCCTTTAAACACACAAAAAAAGCCCCAAATCAGATGACCGGGGCCTTCCCCACTCCTCTCCCTTGCTCACCACATGGCCTGCTGCATAGTGCCGGTCTCTACGTCCCACAGCGCACAAACGCCGTAGACATCCGAAGACCTCTTCAGGCTTCTTCCAGGTATTCTCTGAGACATAGGGCTTCACAGCTTAGGCCTGTTGAAATAGTGAAAGATAGGGAATAACAACCGATGGGGGGGAGCTGAATGGCTGTGAAGTGCTTTCGTCTCTCCTTCACACTACAGAAGACATAGCCATCAATTGCATGTGGTGTATGCATGGTCCTGAACGAAAAAACAATTCCACGCTGTTTCAACATGAGTGGTGAAAACCATCCGCTCGCATGCGTTCCGCTTGAGGGGGGCACGCCATCTGCAGCGCGGAAGTGCTGCAAGGCCTAAGTCAGCCAAGAGAAACTGAATGGCTCGCTGTCCCAACGGCTTCCCTTTTTGGTACAAGTAAAATGGGACGGAAAAAGGAACCAAGAGCTCGTAACTCGGTCTTATGCGGGAAAGTTGCCTATTCCAATGGCCACAATCTGGTAAAAATGGACCCAGAACCATGTAAACTCTGGCCGGAATTGTCCCTTAACCTCCAGTTGCCCGGATTTTGAGGGCGTGACTCACTTGAGCCGGGTTTCCGCAGATCTCAACTGAGCTTCCGACTCGGAGGCGTCCACGGAGGTGATGGGAGTGCACCGAGCCTCTCGGGTACATGCTAGGCCCAGGCTTGCCAGAGATCTGCAATGGGTGTGTGGCTTCTTGAAGGTCGGACCCCCTAAAATGGATTTCGGTTGTGTGTTGTGGTGTCCCCCCCCAAAAAAGAGGTACCCTCACGTGATATGTTCGTTTGTGAGAAAGCCTCTGATTACATTGTAGCAAGGATCACAAAGGGCATTTGCTCGCTTGGCTTGCACGTACCATCCTAACCCTTCCAGGTCAATGTCGCGGCTCCTGCTTACCAGGGCGAGCAAGCAAAGGCCGTTGAAAAGCATGGGATCCTACAAACCCAGGTAGCAACAACTGAGTAACAAGTTCAACTACTGTAACACATTTCTCCTATGAACCCGTAAGTATGGGCAATCTAAGTGTAGGATCAAGCTCCTAGCAAAGCTGGGTGAGACTCATGTCAAAGAGCCGGGGTGGGCTGCTGCATGCTTTCCCTGACGCTTTTTGTTCGCCAAGCGAAGTTCGGATCGAAGCATCCGGGGCGCAAACATGCACAAAGCAGCGATTCCAAACAGGCAACTGCCACGCATCCAAATGGAAGAAACACAAAATGATTCCCATGGGCTGACAAGCAATTCCGTGGATGGTTCAACTTGTCATCAAGGAAAAAATCACATAAGGTCTCTACTCCAAAGCAAGAACTATTGACTGCAAGTGCTGACACACAAGTTCACATCGGATAATACTAGGCCAGAGTACAAAAACAAATCTAGGGAAAAGGTTCTGTGGTGAGCTACTTCCCCCTCAACCCCCAGCCCCCAAGTACTAAACTTGACTTCGGACACTACTAAACCAATACTAAGCCAACAGATTCACCACCAGCCTCAATTGCAGCCATAAATGGGGGCACCTCCAAAACAAACCCGGCTTTAACTGTGCATTCATATTTGAGCTTACTGTTACTTGCAAATAATAGGACACCTCTAATTGAAAAATTGAAGCTCAATCGTGCCTTGCCAATTTGAAGTGCGTCCAAAGAATGCTTCGAACGATTTGATTTGAACTCTTAATGTGTCATTGGATACGGCTTTGACCCTTTCCGTGCCCTTGCAAACCGGACCCCCTTTGTACTTGCCGGATCGGAGCGGGAGCATTTTCACCTTCCGGGCCTATTATTTGTGTGTTTTCCCCGAATAGTACAGGTATCAGGGGAGGTGAATAGAAGAATTGCTACGGGAAACGGGATACTCCAAACTTCAAACCATTGCCGTACTCAAAAATCAAACGCAACTTGCCATGTGCCAGTCGTATGATCAAGGCTGCAGTGCGCGACCTCTGGCTTTGCTTGACTGAGCCGAATTGGTTGGCAACGCAGGCATTCTACCCCACCCAAATGACGAGAAGTATAGTACTTAGTTTTGGCTACAAAGCTTTGCCGTCTGCAACCTGGCTCAGATGTGTCATGTTCGACTAACATCGCTTCCCAGTGTTGAGTGCTTTTCCGGTTCCCGTGTCCTCGTCTTTCGTGGAGCCCTAAGGGCTCGGACCAAGATATCAACGTCCGCAAGCATTGCCACAAATAACAAGGGAACCATCAAACACCCTGTCAGATTCCGAAATTCCCCGTCGCCTGGGGGTTGGCCTCGTGCCGTAAGAGTCGGCGCAGCTCCCCATCGGCGCTCCAAACCTCGATTGAGCAGCTGACCAAAAAACAGCCGCGCGAGAAAGTGAGCCGCCGCCAAAATCCGCATGTGCCAAGCTGGAATGTCTCTGAATCCTTCCTTTTAAAGACTCGCCCTCGGTTTTTTGAGGGGTTTGGTCGTGTAAGTGTTGTGGTCTCTTCCGTAGTCTTCCCGTGATCTCCCTGTAGTCTTTCCGTTGTATTCCTGTAGTCTTCCCATCATCTTCCGGTCACTTCTCATCTATCGCAATTCAGAAGAATTGCAACAATTTGCAAAACAAAGAGAGAAACACAAGCACTTTGGTTAGGCGTCGTCTGGCCTTCGTTTCAAGACGGCCTCGCGCCCTACAAAAAAAAACAAAAAACAATCAGTACCACTATCTTGAAAGACTCACCATCGTGTCTGTTTGTTTTACCCTCATCCCTTGTAATCCTTTAGTGGCAGCACGCATTCACACGCGGTGGGATGTGTCAAAGAGGATACATGTTCTGAAACGCTGGTCCCAAAAGTGCTGTCAAACGGCAACTCTTCTGATCTGTAGATCACAGGGCTGAGCCAGAAGAAATGCACACGCATCCCACAAGCAAGCAAGTCTGGTTTCCAGGCCAATGTCTGACGACAAATGATTGAACGGCACACATTATGTTTTGGTCAACATGTCAACAAAGTCACTCAGAAGGCGACACCTAAAGAACCCCTTTGATACAACCATCACCCACGCAAATGTCCAAAACACGACCCAGCCAAACACAACCACACGCGATGCTCTACTACAATTTGTTGATACCAGTAAAGCGGCGGAACTGGGAGGCGGAAACTTCAAACGTATATGAACTATAGTTTGGAGCACGCTTCTATTCCCCTTCCCTCCCTCCCTCCCTCCCTCCCTCCCTCTCTCTCTCTCTCTCTGTGTCTCTCCTCTGTCTCTCTCTCCCTCTCTGACTCTCTTTGCGCCTTCCTCTAGCGTCGACCCACTGAAAGTCGCAGAGGGTTTACCTTTAAATGACCATGCAACAATAACACAAGCTTTTTGAGGTCGACAACCCGAAAGTCAACAGAGGTTGGCACAAGCAAAGTGAAACCCGGAAAAACAATCAGACACAAAAACCAGTTTTTGCGGGTCGACACGGTCAACGTGCTTTTGGAAGGTTGCGAAGCAGTGCGAGTGGCGGTGCCAATGGGCCCGGCTCCGACCCGATCCGCACGCGTCCCGAGACCACCGACGCGAAAGAGGTGCCTTTACGCACATGCCGACTAGTCGAATTCACGCGAAGTTTCTGCTCATTCCTATTCCCCAGTTCTCGCAATGTTCAGCTTTTTCATGGCTGCTTTTGCATGCCAACATGTTTATCAGAGATGCACGCTACGGACTTCCTGGGAGTAAAGGCCCGTGGCGCAATGCCAGTGCACCCTTGAGGCCAACCCTCGAGGGAGGTCGTGGGTAGAAAAAAGGGATCATACCTGCACCCTTCACAACACCCACCTATTTTTCTTTGATGTTTGAAACTAGTATAGACGACGTTGTGTAGTCCGAAATGCAGTTTCCCCGGCCCCATAAGCACCTCCACCAAACAGAGCAAACAATGCAATTGACACCGAAGCCGCCAAGCCTCGCTTTCTGAGTGGATTGGCCAAACAAATAAGTATCTGCTTAATCTTCCAAACAAGTACTCCCAAACGACAAAGTCCTTGCATTTTTGCGTTTTCCTTGAAAACCCGCAGCCTGCCAATAAAAACAGCGCAACGGAGGGTCCTGGCAGGGTCCTTGCAACTGAGCCTTCCCCACTGGCACACTGCGCCCAAGTCTCTCCTAAAACTGCTTTGCTTTGAGTGCCACCGCGGACGCAACCCCCCATGGCACATCGCAGGATACAAGGCACCTAAACGCACTTTAAGCATAATATATATCTACGTACGAGTAGGAAGGCAATCCCCATGGCACATCACATGCCAGCTTGGATGTTTGCACGCCAATATGAAGGCAATTCCAATGGCACATTACACGGGCAACAACAAGTTCATGCGCCAGTAGGAAGGCAATCCCCATGGCACCTGCAAAACAACACACATCTCGAAAAATCTGTCCGAAGCACAAAGATGAAGGCAACCCCCATGGCACATCGCAGAAGCAACCGCAACGTGTCTCCAAAAACTGCTTTGTTTGAGCGCCACGACGGACTCAATCTCTATGGTACATCGCGTATTGCAAGGCACTTGTTAGCAGCTAAAGAGCTGGAAAAAGGTGGAATTGTTTGGCAAGTTTTCTCTGGTAAAAACAAGTCCAAGAACGAGTCCAAAAAGAAAGAGAACATACAGCCGCAACCCACCTACGCCGTGGCCTATGCAGGGCGCTGCTGCAAAAAGAGTTGCGGAGGGCGCTGTTGCAGGGTGCTGCTGCAAAAAGAGTTGCGCAGGGTGCTGTTGCAGGGTGCTGCTGCAGGGTGTTGCTGCAGGCCGAGACTCAGAGTTGCGCATTTTGCTGTTGCAGGGTGCTGCTGAGGGAAGGTGTTTTCCATGTGTGCCAATGCGCTCGCCCTACCCAAAAGACCTCAACTAAATCTCAGGGCACCACGTTCAGCATGTATTTCTCTACAACAGCTGTCTCTTGAAAACATGCTGAACCCAACGCCACTGGCACACCGAGTTGCAACGACCCTACCGGATGCAGTTCGTGTGCGTATTACACACAAAGAAACAAAAACAAAAACATGCCACCGAAACCGAACGCGACGACTTTCTCACATGGGAGTATAAAGTCCAGGACCTTGGGAAGTGAGAAGCCTCCCA